TGTCCTTCTCTGGTTGGCTGCCTTCCTTTCCCGCATGCCATTGGATCGCAGAGAGACACGGGATTGGCTGAGTCCAGGTGGTCCAACATGTCTGCGCCCTAATCCGACGCCACACCACAACACCACACACTACAACGCCACAACACAACACACCACACTACAACAGCTACGGTGGCAAAGATGGTTAAGGCTGCAAAATGGTTCATCTGTTTGTTCCTTTTTCTTACCATGTGGCTTTGCGCCCTATATGGTCCCTTTCATGGTTCATTTTTTGACTCTTGTGTTCTTTATTTACCCATCATTGTTATCTTTTTTATTGGTTGCTTGTCTTTAGCCTACATCGTGTACGGCGTTGTAACGTTTAATGATTGCCCAGAAGAGGCGAAAAAGTTAAAGATGCAGATTGGCGAAGCTAGGCGAGGATTGGAAAAGGCTGGTTTCAAGTTCTAATATTTATGTAACTTTTCTTTAATCGTCTTTGTTCAATTCACCTCGGTTCTTTTGTCGAACGTTTATTGTTGCTCTTAATTGCAACATTGACCCCCATACATTGTGCCGATGCCTTGGGTTCCTATTTTTTTTAGAATGTATTGTATCATATGCTCCTACACAATTGCTGCTTTTCTAAATGCAATTATTTGTCCTACTTCTTTGTTATTATTCTGCTCATTTTGCTCCTAGGTTTTAATCTGCATGCTTGTCCACGCAATTTTTGACAAGGGCCAGTAAATTGCAGTTAGTATCCCAACCCACAAGCCCTTCATAAACTTGGTTCTCCATAAGCTTCGACATTCTGGCTCGATGTGACTTTGTGCTTTGAGATAATTATTTGAAGCTTACCTTGTCAGATAACCTTTCAGATCGGCTGAATTTTTGGTTCGTCAAAGCTTCAGCCCACCAAAGTGAGAAGGTAGACATTTTTGTGGAAGTTGTATTATTAACCAGAGGGTCGTAATAATGGGAATGGTTCCATGAACCTCGCTCCCCAAACCATTTGTACTAAGCACCTTTAATTCATGTTTCGCTCAAGATTACGACCTACCCTAGTACGACGGGAAGCACGCTTTACATTGTGGGAGTTAAACATCTTTTGTGGCCTAAGCGCATTTTCACGGTCGTGTCACAGCTACCGCAGCAAAATACGTGCACATGCACAGACTGACTGAGTAGACCCAGAAAGTTAGTAAGTGCCCTCTCCGCATGTCTGTTTGACTTCGCGACACTTCGGGTTGCGTCCGATTAGGTTAAAAATCCGCTCTCCGACTGGCAGTGACCGCTACGCAAGTGGGTTTGGACGTTTACGCAACAGCGACCAGCGGAGACTTATCACGAGGCAGCGGTGCGAACATATCGGTGCGCGTCCCCCCGCCCCGCGTATTCAAGTGTGCCAGACCACATTTCAGGGCTTGACAACTTACTGCGTCCTTAACGACACCCTCGAATCCTTTATACCTAGAGGATAAATCCATTGAACTACAATGCTTATTTACGCCTCACTCAAATGGATTCTCGCAAAATCACACACAATCACAAACTTAACGTTAATCGGACACAAACCCGCCGGTGTCATGAGCCAACTATGATGGCCGTATACTAATACTAGTTTTTAAAAAGAAATCAAGTATCGGAACCTCCCAGCCACAAACGCTTGTCTGCTAAGGAACGTTACTTAAATAGTGCGGATGGTTAACGGTTGATTTAGGGGCGAATATGCAAAATGTCAGGACAGAGGACCAAATTTACAAATGACTTATTTACAAAAGTTGCCATATAACATCGTGTATACTATTGTATAAAGGCGAGATCCGGGAGTAGTCCTGCCGACTGAACACGATGAAATGCACTTATTGCTGCTTCCACGTCCCAGTCGCATTCTTCGAGACATTGTCGTGAGAAATCACGGTTCATTCCTGTAACCGAGGAGACCTCGGTAGTTTTAATTTCTCTTTCCTCATTTGACGGGTCATTTTCTTTGGTTCTTTGCTTACTTGGCTCCATTTCTGCTAACAAAACCCATTTTTCGACAGATTCGCGAATCAGATTAGCATATTTCTAAAAAAGATTAAATCGTTTAGCTCAGAGAGAATTAGCACCCATTTCGCGTCATCGGTAAAGGTGCAGAAAACCATAAAACGGTACGATGCCCAGCAGTTGTGGTCCGTAAGATTTAGTGCGCTTAGCCTTTCTTTAATGCACATTCGTAAGCAATGAAGCGGAGATGTTGGATATGCGACTAACGATACTTACATATTGCATTTGCTCGGATACAGGAATGACGCAGATATCCTCATTAACGATTTTTTCAACAGGCGGTGGCTGCACTATCATAGTCCTTTGGACCCAACGAGCAATGGGTGCATGAAGCAGAACTGAGGACCTGTTGATTGCCTGTTCACTGACAACTTCAAGACAGAGTGTCGTGAACTTAACAAACACTCCTAAGGGCTAAGCACTTAGATAAGGTGTAAACTAACCCCATGCGAAGTGATATCGACCTGAGACGTCGCATCGTCTCTTATTGCAATCAAAAGTGGCATCTGTGTGAATAACCGCTCTATTTCGCGAGGTCCTCTGGCGAAGTTGACGCTTGAGTGTGATCCACTTAAACAACTCACGGAAGCAGGGTTGTGTCGTTTCACTTGCTTGTTAATATATTTCGCGTTGAGATCTTGCAACCCATTAAGTGAGAGCAGAAGTTTCCGATGATCACGAGTAAGATTTGTTTTTTTGTCTGCGTTAATATGTGCCCAAACCCAAGCTGGCAATGGACAACAACCCTTGAGTAAATTGGCAGAGAGAAGAACATACGGCAACATTGACCTGATTTGAGGGAATTCCTTGAGAGCCTGCCTATTTGTTACATTATTAATCCCAATCGGCGCACATTTTTCCACAGCGTACGGAACCACCTGTACAGTGACACAAGCATCATAGCTGTACAAATCCAAGAACACCGACGCTTCACCCTTGTGCTCAAATGCGTCTAGTAACCTAGGAAATGGGTTAAATATGAAAAACTCGACACTTTTTTATGAACGCATAGCTCCAACCACCGAGCTCCTTTGGTAGCAGGCTCGACGGCTGGCCTGCAGGCAATTGAACAATGGATGCAATTTCAACACCTGCACATGCAAACTCTCGACAGAGGTTGGAAAATTCGCACTTTCCCTTCTTTAAACTTAGTTTGCGAGCCTTCCGTTTTTCACGGTATGATTGAGATTTTGTGGGGAAGAGAGGGAGTCCTTTTGGTTTAGGCGATTCATCACCACTACCGTACTCCAGTCTGCGTTTTTCTACAAAATTGATTTGTCTGTAAGATTGGCTAACTAATAACTCACCACGCCTGCGAGAGCGCTGAGTTTTCCCCATGGATAATAAAGTGTGGTTTTGTGTGGTGTGGCGTCGGATTAGGGCGCAGACATGTTGGACCACCTGGACTCAGCCAATCCCGTGTCTCTCTGCGATCCAATGGCATGCGAAGAGGATAAGCTGCCATTCAGAGAAGGACATGGAAGATATGCTGTATATAAGGAGCGGCGTGGCCAGCGTGGTGGACTCGGATGGAAGGTGCTTGACGTGAGGCTCTGGCTTCTAATTGGTCAATCAAGCCTGTTCTGTTGTACTGGTCTTTTTCCTATTGGGGCTCGGGTAATCTGTATTGGTGGCAGCGGATGCGTTTGAATAACGGAAATCAAACTCCGACCCGATCTGTTTTAAGGACAACAGAGGCAAAGACCCTTAAATGCCAGCCAAATTTGTCATGGCGGTCATCCGATGTCCAATAAAGTGGATCTATAGACTTTGCCCGGGATTCGGACTACTGCATCTGAAGAGGCATTGGCAACTCAGCGACGACGACTTGGACAGTGAAAGCCAGCTGGACTTCATCTGCGAATGGACCTTCAATGGATGATGAGTCTTTCCTGGAAGTCTGCAAGAGCAAGGTCCCTCGTCAATTATTCGCATTGGCCACTAACCTGCCAGATGTGAGGTGCGGGTAGCGTCGAATTGGATATTTTACCAACACTGGATATCGACAACAGTGCGATGAACCATGCTAGAAGCTGAGGACAGCTTCACTGCTGAGGGGGAGGCTGTGTGGCGACGGATCAGGGCGCAGACATGTTGGACCACCTGGCCTCAGCCAATCCTGTATCTCTCTGTGCTCCAAAGGCATGCGAGGAAGATAAACAGGCTGCCAGAGAAGAACACGAATGTGGTGTTGTATATAAGGAGCGGCGTGGCCAGCGTGGTGAACTGCGATGGAAGGCGTCTGACGTGTGGCTCTGTCTTGTGATTGGTCAATGAAGCCTTGTCTGTTGTGCCAGTCTAATTCATGTTAGGGCTCGGGTGTTCTACAGCATCGCAGTGCTAATTATATAATGATAAACTTTTTAGGTCCTGCAGTATCTGACTGCTCGGTTGACACGCAGTAGATAAGCTATCTTTGTTGTTTTCTAAGGACTCCGAATGCATTTATCAGAAGCTTATGTGATGACAACATCGTTTACAGAGCAGGTACCGACCGTTTCCTAGGTAAAACGAGTCTAAAAGCATCAAAGGAGAACTGCTCGGTAGCACGCGTTTTGCGAGGACTGCCTGATACGATCTTTGCGCGCCATCCGAAACATTTGACACAGTCAGTTGCAGAAGTGTTGAAGGTGCTGGTGCCGAAGCCGGACCTGAACAACAGCGGCCAATTCTCCTTGCAAGCCCATCCACGTCATGTTTCACAATGGCGGCAGTAGATAAGGAGTTTCCAAGGGTCTAGATTTTATCGGCCCGATGGACCTTCGACGGTAAACCTTCTGATGTAGTCAGTTCTAATAAGACTTCAGGTGCGTTGATTTCATGTCCTGCCATTCATGCGTCATGTGCTGGTAACAGGTCTTTTATATCCACAGGTTTATGCAACAGGTTCATGTATTGGTTAGTTGATACGTGCGGCGGGTGCTCTTTGGTCAACCCGTGACAGTGCCCTCAGAAGACATTCGAACCATACCTGGTGACGTTGTCGATTAAGGTTAAGGCTGTAAATGATACCGTGATGCGTACTAGGGTGTATTCTGTACTAGAATTCCATGTATTTATGCCAGGATTTGCCATGCGATGGTATATTAGGGTCAGATGTACTTGACGGGTACGCAAATGAGATTACTCTACCGCAACGTTACTTACGCCAAGAGCCTCATGAAGTAACAGTAATGTTCGAACAGAGTAACGGAATCATATCGGCAATTAATGCACAAGCAAACCCCTCACTTAGAGGAGCTGGACCGATTGGTCTGAGCAAAGTCACACGGCAAGACGCCAGATCTAACTCAGCTTCGCATTGTGGTCCAAGATTATGTGGAGGTTTTTTGTGTGGGACAGAGCAGGCCCTGGCTGCACGAGTGATAACCTGCGTTACATTTACATGAAAGAAGAGTGTCGCATTCGACAGCGACCTCAACGTATACCTTCGGTGTAGTTGCAGGCAGTTAAGGAGACCATCGCAGAGACGTTGCAGAAAATCATTTAACCGTCATCTGCCATCATTGTCGTCAAAAGAGGGACAGTGCCATTAGTCTCTATTTCGATTATTAAAAGCCTAATAAGATCACTATACAAGGCAGCTTTCCTATTCTGCGGATGGATGTCATGTTTGATGCCCTGAGATGGTGACCTACTTTTGTCTAACATGGACTCCAAATCATTTATTTCTTAGCTACCATGACAGATTGAATAAAATCATATTTAATAATATCGAGGCGGTTTAAATGCTTTTGATTTTCCGCATACATGCAATTTTTAGGGCTATTTTTTTACTGTCAGTTGTAACATGTTTGATTATTCTCGAGTCGGAAATTCTGTTTAAATTCCGAGTGTGGACGAATTGTTTCGCCCTTAATTTATTTTCATAATTGTTGCTTGTAAGCAACATTGTTTATTGCCGCGTACAATAAGACACCAAGAGAATTCGCTGATTCCTATTTTTTGGCGAAATAAAGTTAAACAAAAATTTTTATTGATGAAAATTCTTTTTGTGAAAAAATGCAGAACTAATAAGATTACTTTGTTTTTACATTTAGTAAATTACATTGCGTTTTACTTTAGAGATCAGAACTTATAATGGTCAGCCTATTTTAAAAACGTCATTATTTATCCCTTCGCGCGTGATTTCAATTCTGGTATTCGTGTTCTAAAACATCTTCTGTATTTGTTGGGGAATGGCTGAGTTTAGTGGTCCTGGTGTAAATGCGTTTCCTTTTGGAAATCATCGTACTAATACTGGAAGCGAAAATCGGACTTCAAAATCTGCCTTAGCTTCAAGGGTTTCCGATGTCTTTTCGAAACCTGGTTTGTTTGTGACTCGTCCTTCAGCGATTTCGATAGAAAGTTGCGTTTCTCCTCACATTCCACACCACTCACTTTTCCATTATAATCCTTCCACCAATTTATGTCTGAGAAAACGTAATCACGCGTAAGTTATTGGATTTAAGTTCGAACGCTAGTTCTTTTTATTTTAACATTGACCTTTAACAGTAAATTTGAACTGCATGTAGTAAAATGGACATTTCAGCGTTTTGTAGTACAATTGCTCGGTGTATAAATGGTTTTTATGCTGTTTCACTTTAGAATCGACGAAATTGCCTTGAATTTCATAACTTATCCCTCCATCTGGTAACCACCCAGCTGTGGTTTTTCGTCCTGGCCGTGGAAAATCCTAATTCGCAAAGTTAATTCTTTACTTTAAGGATACCGATTCTGCTATTTTTTTGTAAACCAATGCAAATATGCGATTGGAGAAACTTGTAAGCAGAAAGAACTCTAACCTTAATGTTTCAGGCACTAATGAAATGACATGGCCGAAAGACTGTTCAGTGTTATTTCTGTTCGAATGTGCCCCAGTCGCATATGTTCTGTTATTAAAAAGACTCGATTGAGAACTAATATGCTTTACTTAAGCTAACATTTAATAATATCGATTTTATAGAGATGAGGCCAATGACAGTGAAGATTCTCCAGTTCCATCCAAGAAACCGGCCTCAGAGGAAGCGATTTCAAAGCAATTTTCTTCCTTAAATATATCGACACCTTCTAGCAATTCCTTTTGTGACGAAGTTGAGATGCTTCCTTTGGACAAAATCTCGGATGAAGTGGATAGTGATGAGAGCGATGTGGAAGAGAGGTAATCCGCCACAAAGCACTGCTGGTTTTTGTTCGCTTGAACGTCTTAGGGATGTAGTTCTGAAACTAAATACTTGAAACGGGTTTTTATAATCATATTTTAAAAACACCTTTTGCTTACTTAACCGGCTATTTATTATGAATACTTTGAACTATTGTTCTAAATGCATATGTGTGACGCCGAAAAATAACCTTTCTCATAAACTCTCAATTTAGTTCACTTTCTTAATACTTATTGATAGATAGCACTTCTGACTATAACTCGTCATATTTAAGAATAATAAAATAAATACCTTGATTGAAACTTTTGTTGGTCTATAACCACAGCCTCATACGTTGAAAGTTCTTGAAGTTTTTTAAGTCGATTGCTTTGTGATACTGTCAAAACGGGACGAATTGACTGGCGCATACTGGCCTGCGTGCTTAAGCAAAGTGATAGCCTTTTTGATATTCCCGAGGGAAGCCAAGGGGAAAATGAGTTTTTCTGTGACATTTGGACTTATTCAAAGCTATTCGTGAAAGCTCATTTTCGGCTTGCTGCGCCTCAATATTTTTTACGCTCTACTTTAATATAGTAATTGGACTTGTATATGACAAATCTGCCTTTCGTTTATAAAAGTATTTATTAGATTTAAAGAATTTAGCTGAAATGGGTAAGCGACCGAGCTATCATGCAAAATGTACCTAACTGCTCTGGTTTGATCTGTATTGTTTAAAATATTTTAGTCTTCGTCTCCCCGAGGAACTTTGCAAGGCGTACAACCTATTGAAGACCACTGGCAGTCTTCCCGATCCACATCTTCAAAAAATGTAAGTTGTCATTTCCGTTTTACGAAGAATTTTTTGCGCCTATTGTAGGCGACACCATGTGCACCAGCTTAATGAGCTTGTAGGCGTTAAATGCTTTTCGATGCAAGTAAACGTCACTTGACGTGAACCGGTGGTTAGGGGAGTCATCTCACAACAACGCTACTACTCAACATGATTTACTCACCTCTTGTATGCCTTATTAGTTCAAAGCCAATGCTTTCAAAGGCGTTTGTTACAAAGGCAAATGTTTTAACGAATGAGGCCTAGTCTCCCTGATTGACTTTTCTTTGTCAACCTCGTCTTATATATGTGAAATATTGATCCAGCTGGCAAATATGCCTTCAAGTGAAACGCAAATTTTGTATTTCTACCCTCTTTAGTGCCTCCTTAGAGTTTCGGTTTTTCTGCACTCTGTTATTGTTACCTGCTTGCTGTGCTTTTCAAACACTCCCAGCTAAATTAGACGTCTACAGGTGCAGGTTACAAATGCAATTAAGTTTGATTTCTAATGATCGCTTTTGTTCATTTTGCCTGCAGGAAGACCATCTAGTGTTAGTAAACAATGAATGCAGTTGGTCGACAGTGAGCTTAACAAATTAATGTGTAATCGGTTGGAACGCAAATCAATTGAGCACGTGCATTAAGTGACCAAACAAATGTGTCAGTAGTTTAAATTGAACTGGCATTAAACTAAATAACAGTTCTTAGTATAAGTGGTTTTTTTATCGGCTAACTTTCGGATGATTAGCCAAATGACCAGCGTCCAATGCGGTGTGAAATCTCGCATGCAGCCGTTAGGGGTGTTTTCAACTCATTTTGTCCATGCTCATACATTTCACCCAAGACCGCTCGATAATTTCACACAAGACTAATTATAGCATTTGGTGCGATGTCCGAAATTCCGTTCCTGAGTTCGTTTTCCTAAGCACTTCCCAACACGGTCATCAGCGTTTAGGAGGATTTGTTTTCTTACACTAACAGGAGCTATCGCTTTCATACCTCTTCCTCAGCCGGAAACTACCAACTCCTATTTCATTATCGATCGTTACATCTCTTAGGTTCGATTTCCACTTTGTTCGGGAAAGTTGAATTGAAATTTGAGCTAATGATGAAAGAGGCATGTCCGAATTGTCAAAATCCTGAAGTTGTTTATTTTTGATACCTCACGCTTTTAGCATCATTTCAAGTAATTTGTAATCCGATTAAAGTTATGGCGCAACAAACATTACCGCATAGTGTCAATTAAACGTAACACCTATTTTGATAAACCGAAAATTCATATATTGATTTTAGATTTTTTTAAAATTTGCTGGTATGCATCATACCTGGGGTAGTTTTATCAAGGTTTTTAAAACAAGCGTTTTCCTCTTGCAGTTTTGCCTCAAAACCCTGCCTTGCCGTTGTACCATACGTGCCTCGTCCCACCCTCCCTCTCCTGCCTGCCTCCGACGCCCCCGCCCGCGATAACCCTATGCCGGACCCCGACACTGCTGATGATTCTGACAGTGCCGAACCCATGGAATCTCAGTCTATATCTTCTGCATTGTATATGCCCAATCTCCCGGTCGATTGGGTCAGGCCTATCCTTTAGCACTCTGAACGTAAGCGTGCATTGGACTAGGTCAGCTCTTGCTATTTGATGTGGTCTCTTGGGTAAATCTTCTTCATTGTACATAACAAATTGACAATACATTATGTGTGAGTTGTGTTACGATCCACAATTAAGTTTCTGGAGGTGTCTCCACATTGGAATTCTTGTGAGACGTGGTGTTTTGCGTTTATGAGAGCTTCAGCGGAAGAGTAATCTTGTAGAAATGTCAGAGTAACGGCCTGCACACACAAAGTTGCCAGAGGTGTTAAATTCATAATGAGGACATTGTTGCCACACCAAATGCCTGGAAAATATAACGAAACGGGTAAAACAGCTCCTGGTTGTAATAATGTACAGGTATCAGCCGGGTTCTTTCGACCCAACTCATTTCAGTTGTTAGTATTCCAACTCAGTGCGACCTTGATCTCGGATAACTTCGGATGAAGTTTCGACCACAACGTCATTTATGTGGTCAATTTTTGTCAAATCCTGTGCCCAGAAGTTGCCACGCGGTCACTACGCTCCCCTTTGAAATTTTTTGGAGGTAAAAAGTCGCTTGGGAACTCATTCGGCAGTTTTGCTCTGTATTTTAGTCCTAATGTATGTTTGTAACTGCTAATACATGTAGTTTGCTTTCCTGAGCAAATGTGATTGTCTCTCTATGATTTTTCTTAAAATCAACACCCTCCCAAAGAATTTCCTCTTTTTTGCTTGATATTACAGGAATTGTAGTTAACATGCCTGAGATATCTTTATTTTTAGCACACGTCCGCTATCACCTTTAAAAACCAATCAAACCGAACTGATGGGTGGAACGTGGAACCCCCATACTTTCCAATGACCTACCGTATTTATTACCTCAAGATGCATTTTTTTAATACTTGAATTTGTTTTTCTTATGTTTTAATGAATGTCTGTTCAAATGCTGTTCCTGACCCAAGCACCTTGTACTACTATTATGCTGTCATTAAAGCCCAATCATCTTTTGGAAAAGTACTTCTAGTGGAACTACCTCGTCAGCTGATTTATGCTCTCAACCGAAATAGGTTGCCTACCGCTTGCTGTATTGTCACTTGTCTGGCTTCGTTGTTATTGGTCAGGAGTAGCAGTCAGTCCTAGTCATTGTTTGCCTAGCTGTGTGACCTGAAGGCAACTGACCTCAAGATTCCTGCACATTTGCATGTGTAGTAAACGAGTAACCAGATTGGCTTGGTACAGCAAGGAATGGTACATCTATTTCTCACGTTTTCCCGTCCCTGACTGGGTTCTGCTAGTAGGTCACCAGCAGTACTAAGACTATGGACTATGGTTTAATTGCGAAGAAGCGGAATTACGAAGATGCAGTTCTAGATTAGAAATTACTGTTAAACAACTTGAAGCAACTTGGGGAATTTCGCTGCAGTGGGAATTCCGCCTAGATCGTCAAATATTTTAATTACTCGTTTTCCTGATGTTGGTGCACTATTTATTACGGCCGATAAGTTATTCAGATGCCAAGTTGCTAATTCACAGTATTGGAAATGACCAGCAAGCTCTGTGATAATACAATCACGTAGTTGAAGTAGATTTTGCTATAGGTGTGTAATCTGATGATTAGAACTGGCAATGGAACCGCGCGATCGTGTTGTGAATCGTGTTTATTCTACCCCTTTAATCCGATCGCGTCGCCTCCGACACAGGGCTCCCCTTTTTCGCAGCATGGCGCCAGCCACGCAAATCATCACCTCCCCCTTCATTCACACAAATATTTATCTTGGATTAACCTCACACCTAGGTCCCGATGTTAGCGCAGTTATGACTCACTTACGCACAAACCCCACATATCACCACGACTTCGACAAGTCTCGAATAAACGACTCTCTGTCCTTCCACCGACTTCATCTTTGTTGGGTCATTAGTGATATATGGCACCTCAACAATCAGACCACTGCGTGGTAGACTATACATGAAGATTCGCATCCAGCAGGCGATTTAAAATCTGGAACGCACTTCGTAAATTGTGCACTTCGTTTCAAAGTAGTAGACTTGTATACACCTGAATGATGGCTTCCATAATGTCGGCCACACCATCGTAAATAGGGCAGCTACCGGCCAACGGGTAAGGGGTCCCCTTAGGTGAGTTCATAGGTAAATCCATTATACATTAGAAAGGGTCCAACTAAATTAAAATGCACAATACGCAAATACGAGTCTGTGAGGAAAGAATATCAGATTGAAAAATACTGTACCGTTAAATCTGCCGCTCTGAATATAAAGGGTTTGGCTCATTTGTAAACTAAAATTAAAAGAAAATGATTTGTAATTCATTGCACAGGAAAGGGCATGACAGTACATAAAGGCAAATGCTAAAAGCTTAATTGTTTGCGTTCTGAATTAGGCAGGAATATTTGGTCTAAGTATCCTCGTTAATATTTCAAACGTTTCTTGCGGAAGTTAAATAGCGGTTGCCTCTTCAGATTTGAAACAAGAACTCAGGCGATTCTTTTAAAAATCTTTGCAGTTAGACCGCAATGCGAAAAACTGTACAAAAGAGCTATCAGGAGCTTAAAATATTGCGCGATTCATAACGTTGTCAGTTTTATGTGGTGGGTTCTAGACGTGAATCAGTAATCATGGTCATCAGATTAGGATTCAAGATGTACTAATCGGTGAGATAACATGCAAATAATGACTCAGGTGTTCTTCCACAGTAAAAATGAGCTCATGTTGTTCCAGAAGATGATGAAATCGTGTCACAACCAGTTAAATTGCCACTAGTTATAGTGTGAGTGCTCTATAACGGATCTTAGACGGATTAAGCCTTCGGATAAGTAAGAGTAGTAAAAAGACATGGTCATTTTAATAGGGTTAACAGTAGTTTTTAAACCACTCATTCCTAACAAAACTGCTACATTCTTTCACTTGCAAAATTTGAAGCTAGAAATGCTGTTGTAGGCTCCTTAGTTTACATTAGCTTCTCAAACTTCTTTGAAAGCATGTCAGTCAGTCATTCAAGCATCGAGATGAAGCGTAAATTGTAGTTCGGGAAACTGTGAAAAAAACTCAAGCTGTGTAATTATTATAGATCTTCGCACTCCTCACTTAGCTAGAGTAAAGTCTTTTGAAATTTATGCTAGCTAGTATGCTTCTAACAAGACTGGTTAATAGCTTTAAGAAGATTTATCAATGATTATAAAATAATGCAAAACACAAATCTCTATGAGTGAGTCTGAATTTTGAATTAAATATCCAAATGCTTTATATGAAGAGAATTCTGCAGGTCTCCTTAGTTATCATACATTTTGTTAAAAAATTGGATATATATTACATTATTTGTTGTAAATTAGAAGAATTGCATATGTATCTCTGCATTTAATGGGCATAATTAACCGCCTTTGGAACTACACTTTGTTTAACTTGGCAAACCAAAGGCAGATTTCTAATTTGGTGTCCTGAAATCAGCGTTAGTTTAATATCTTGCATGTCGCTCATCGTTTTCCTTTCTGTAATTGAGACTTTATTGCATTAATTTGTAGTTTTGCCCGTTTTTATTAGATACCATGGTCACTAATGTGTTTGCAGTGATAAAGCAGGAAGTGTTTTCGGTACTCAGATGTTTATTGCTAATCCTCTGTGTTATCAGGGGTTGGACGGTCTGACTTGAAAAATTGATATTTGCTTCCAATTTGTACACTTTTAGCAATTTTTGCAGACTTCCGACGACTTCAGGCTTTCGTCTCAAGTGACTGAACCGGATGCACGATGGATGGCCCGTATATATCGCCAGATTCCGTGTAATAATATTTTCAAATTAATTTGCCCGTCTCTTAGATGGTACTTTGGTGAAATTAGTCGGGAGAAAACTAACGAGATTCTTCTTAATCAGCCTATTGGTACTTTTCTAATCCGAGATTCATCAACTACATCAGGCTTCGTTTTATCTATAAAGTTGGTTGTATTTTGTCAAATTTACATACCCCTTCGTAGAGAGGCCACCAAGGTCGTTCGTTATCTTATTAATTATTGTAATGAAACAAACGATTTCAATTTCGGCAATTTAAACTTTGAGTCACTTGAAGCTGTTCTTGAGTACTATTCTCAAGGGAAGACTTCTGCTTGTTTCATGGTAAAACCCGCTCCCAAAGAAAGACTTCTGGCCCTTTTCGATTTTGCTGGGGAGAAGGACGATGATTTGCCTCTTTCTAAAGGCGATATGGTTGCTTTTTTGATTCAGAAGAAGGATTGGATTTTATGCTCCCTGAGTGATGGCCGAAGGGGTTGGGTACCTTCCAACCACCTTGCTCCTGTAAGTCAGCTTGTGCTTATTATTTTGTTCCTGTTTGCTTAAATCTGTTAAGCGTATAACTCTGCGAGAACTGCGTACTCTCTATTCCAAATTTGTTTACGTGGCTGTTTAAATTATACCACTGGCCTTTCCTTTTTAAGTGATTTTGGTTCGTGATTTATATCGCATTCCCCTGGCTAATGTATCTTGGAGTTGTTCTCGCTTATTTGCCATCATGAATTTCCAGAGGAAGTTAACTCCCAAAAATAATTGGATCGGTTATTTTTAACTAGTATTATCACTCGATTTTAGCACCATTTTGAAACAAATTTATCCCCCATCTTCCAACATTCTATCGCTTTTTGTGTGTGCTTTTTCGTAATTAAACTTTATTTGCCCTCGATTCTGCTTAATGAATAAACCGTGTTTAAATTAGCAAAGACTTAACAAACATGATTTTTTTGAATTTTTTTAAAAAGTCCGAAAAGTTTAATGTGCTTGCTTGTCTAACTTAGGCATGGTTTTGCTGTCTCTGTAGTATAACGCAGAACTTCTGGCTAGTCTGAAAGTTGACAAAGGGAACTTGAATTCCATGTCGTATTGCAGCCTCTGCGGTATCATTAACGTTCCTACAAATGCCAAAGTCATACGCTCTCGTCAACCATCGATATTTCAAGTCAATCATTTAGAAATTCAGGTTAGTTGTTATTATTTTTCCGAGTTTGCTCAATATCTGATAGGTCGTATTTTGGGGATACATGGTTTTTCAAAGTGTATTTTATATTTAGGTATGTCAGCAGAGTTGTTGCGAATAAACTAGTCAGGCCATTTTTAATCGCTTTCTAGAAGTGACTGCAGGGAGAATCGCGACAAGCAAATTAAAACAACGCCATGACACAAACCGTTAACGTCAATGAAACCCAGAGAAATGTCAAAATACGGAAAGTACCCTAGGAAACAGCTCTTTTAGGATCATTACAAGCAACCTGTGCTTTAAGTTACTTTTACTTTTAAAATGTTGTTTTACATGAATACCGCGAGTCCAACCGGCATCCGATAGTATAAACATGCATTGACTACCAAGGCTGCTTCTTTTAAGATGCATGTTTACCTCTCTGTTGTAGGAAAATGAACCGGTTCGTGTGGAACGAGTACTCAATGACGGCATTTGCGAAATCTGGCTCGAACGACTGCAGTGCCGCGGCCTTGCTCCGATAAACTATCTTCAGCTAGAAGCTGCATAAATATTTTACTCTACGTACTTTGTGCGCCTTTTTTTTTTAACACTTCACACTTGATTAATTTTTATTCGATATTGACTCGAATTTAATAAACACGTGACTCATATTGTGCTATTACTTGTTTTTGTGTATGAATGCTTTTGTCGTGTTCTGATGGAATCAGAATTATCAGTTTTGATTTTGAGAGTCGTGAATGTATCAAATGGAACAGTTTATGTTCCTCCTCGCTTTCTTGCATGCGAATATCGTGGTTTTTTGCCCGAAGCTATTCCCGTGGCTCATTTCTGCGCTCCTGCGAGTTGTTTGGACATACCTGCTGTGGTTGATTAAGCGTAATTTGTCTGCCAAAGCCATAATATGCCCATTTTTACATGTCTAGTTTTATCCTCCGTGATTTCTGCCATGGGTTCGCATGCAACCCCTTCGGCTCTTTACCTGCTGTAGGTCGTGCAGGTATACACCAGTAATGCGATTTAAATCAACAAGAATTCTTTTTGTTAGAAACGTTACGGGAAACTATGGTCGGTGTGAACGTTTTGTTTAAGGATGGACTACGTCCAGGCTGCGGTCTATATTCTTCCAAATCTACTGCTTACTAATGATCTAGTGTCCTTTTCTGAACAAATGTCCATTTCTGAAGCCATTCATGTTTTAAATAATCATTAACTGAAAACTGCCCAAAACCCATGGCAATTCGATATTTCGTGTATACAACTAGTGCACGCGTTTGTACTATTGTTTAGTCTGAATCAAAAGCGAAATTCTGTTTTGATTGGTGTTAGCTTATTATTATTATTTGCCCACGTGGTTCTTTTTGCGTTAGCAGTCATGTCAAATTTGGCGAGACTAGGAAAACTGGTTGCTTCGCGGACCGCTCTTTTTGTCTGCGACATTCAGGACAAATTTCGCCCTGCTGTCGCGCACTTTGATGCCATTGTTAGCGTCACTGAACGGCTCATTTCGGCTGCCAAGATGCTTGACGTGCCCGTCGTTGTGACTGAAATGTATCCCAAAGGTACCTTTTTTCAGTTTACATTGTTGGTTGCTACTCCTCTCTGGCGTTGGCACCTCTGCTTGCAATCTTCATGTATTTATGACCAGTTATGATCAAAAAGACTGATCTCTATGACGAACTGAATTGCTATATAATGTTGATCCTGCTATTTCCTCACTACAACCTTGTAGACTTTAAATTCAATTGCTAGCATTTTATTGTTTTTGGTATCAATACTTTGGTCCCCACTTATAAGTCTTGTATTCGGATTAACTGCCTTTACAAGGTCATCATTTGTCTGGCGTTTAATTTATTATATAATGTTCACGATCACGTGGTTACGCTGACTAGGAGACTTTAAAGGGTCACGTCCAAAACATGTCAAATAAACGTGTTGACACGGCGATTTATTGGCTGCATATTTGTGCCACAGTGGTGAATTAGCCGTCCACACTCGTTGAGCAGGCAAGTATGTCCACTTTTTGAGCGATTCATATGTGAAGGGGAGATGCATTTGGCCTATTTTTTAGAATATCCCCTTGTTTACATTACATGGGCGTGCAAATGCCCCAGCTCATGGAATTGATAAGCTACTGTTTATTGAACTTTGTCACCTGAGCCGCACTGACGCGAAAAGTGATCGGTCTTCGGTGAACATGCACTCGCCCGCGTTGGGGAGACTGCGGTTGGTCGAACTGTCACCACTTTGGTCACCGTGCTGCCTCGTCAGGTTCCTGCCAAAGCCTGGCCCAGATCCCACAAAAAATGCTTTTCCATATACTCTACCCACCGTATCTGAGAGTGCCTTTAGCTAAATTGGTGATTTTGTGGATAGATTAATTCTTATGTAGCGTTCCAGAACCAGGTTGAATTCCCAAAATGCTCCTCCCAGAAAAATAAGTAACACGAACACGGTTCCTGTGTGTGGGCGGGTGGCATGTCGTAATATCTGAGGTTAGCTGTTATGCAACAAATAGTCCTTAGAAGCGAAAAGCAGCGAATTTTTCAATTTACCTAGTGAACAGTGGTAGACAGAGTCGTAATTTTGCCTGAAGCACTGAACAAAGCAGGATTTTGGAGTTGATAATCCCAGTGCTTGTATCCATCTTTTTACGATCAAAGTAGACAATTTTTAAGCCTTTTCAGGGTGAGTAGTCTTTCATCCCTTTGTAACCTTTCACTACACGGTTGATCGGGTTTCCTTAAAAGTAATAGATGCATTCTATTGGCGTTGGACTATGTCGTCTAAAACTAACGTTTCCCTGCATTTCAAATGTGTAGTGCCTTTTGTCCAAAAGGTATTCGAAGCCATGTTTATCTGTGAAAATTAGATGGATCATTCTTTATGAAATTCGATCAATGTGAATCGTAATAAGCTAATCTCGTATTTTCACCCATTTTCAATTATCCGTGCATCTAAATGGGTTCACGTGATTATTTAAGTGTACTGGCATCTCCTACCTTCTGATTTAGTTGTTCTGCCTCCAATATGCATCTTAACTACAGACATCCTTTGTATATTTTAGGACTTGGCCAAACTGTTAGGGAACTGGGCGACCTTACAGATATTCCCGTTATTCCTAAAACGTCGTTTTCCATGGTCACAAAGGAGGTCGAATCGAAGATAGATCTTAACAAGGGGATCGATTCAGTCATCCTATGCGGCCTCGAGACACACGTCTGCATTCAGCGCACCGCCCTGGACCTGTTGGAGCGTGGGATCGACGTCCATTGCGTCGCAGACGCTGTCTCTTCTCGCTTTATGGTAGACAGGATGTTTGCACTCGAACGAATGCGTCAGTCGGGCGTCTTTATAACGACCAGTGAATCGGCCATTCTGGGTCTCATGTCGGGAGCCGAACACCCAATGTTCAAGCAAGTCCAGAAGCTGATCCTCCCTGAAGCTCCCGACAGTGGTCTCCTTTCTTCACCTCTTGCTCGATAAAAACCGCCAAGAGCGTATTGGCCTTTTTGTAGTCTTGTGTGTGTTTTCGAAAACAACGGTTCTATGTCCTTTTCTTGGCTTATCTGCCACTCTGCCCCAGTACTGAGTTATTCATTGGGAAGAGATGGTTTAGAAAAAAATAACTTGTGGTATTATGTTCTGATGGTGCGACGAATGCGCTATGGGGAACTGAATCAAGGGCGATAGATGGACACATCTCCTAAAAGTGCAACTTATAATAAGCCTGCGGGGTTGTATCACTGTTTGGGAATTTTTTGTCCGCATATGAACGCAAATACGGGAGGTCAGTATAGCATAATTAATTTTGTCAAGTGGTCACAGGCGTGAGTGTGTTCAAGCATTTCGTTGCACACGACAAATTCTCATTGCCGCCATTTTAACCCATTCAGTGACATGCTCTGCTGTGCATGCGTGGCAGAAGTGTTTGGTAGATAAGCTCATTTGACAGTTCGTGATAAAGCACGTTCGAAGAGAGCGCGGCTGAGCGCACAGTAGAATTCCTTACCAGTGGATTACGAAGCAAATAGCGAAACTATCGGGGCTGCTTAGGGTTCCGTGTGGTTTTCTCAGATGTGGCCCTTTTCGATCGGTTCTAGCTTCCCTACTTGAGATTTCTGCAGGCATACATATATTGAATTTAGGCGTTAAGCTTGTGGTTTGATCGCCAGTGTCAGCCCGATATGTGTCAGTGACCTTCAAACGCCACCACGGTTGTGCGGTCACTCACACCTTCTAGGCAAGTCCATCTATTGAAATACGCTGAGCTGCTAAAGGCCCCACCTTCATTCACCTATATCCTGACATAAATTCATCTTTACCTCTTTTCTATAAACGGAATTACAGTGCTTTAAGTACACTCATAACAGTTCTTTGCATTTTTACTCATCCATTCTTCTACTAAGTAAAGTCTAGTAGCGTTGATTTTCCACCACGATATTAAGTATAGGCAGTGTCAAGATTGTCTCTTGTGGCTACACAAGATTGGTGAGCAGTACGATGGTGCATACTTGCTTACATCTCTTCAGGGAACAGGAGCGGGGCTAACAGCCACTAGGAAGTTAAAGAATACGAGACTAACAGTAAATTACAATTTCATGCTGTGGATGCACCAGGTATTGCGACGAGTTTTGTTTGTCTGTTTCTAAGCAGTAAAATCTCGTTTAGTATACCTATACATCAAACCTTATCTCGAATCCACATTTAGGCCAGCCATTAGTCCTAACTCATCACTGTTGAACTCTACGGTTTATACTGATTGAACGCAATCGGTGTGTTTAATTTAACTGTTCTCATGGCTTCCAATTTGCTTGGCTTATTGAAATACAAACGGAGAGTATACTGCCACGTCAGTATATTACCATTAAAGAAAATTAAGGCTATGATTGTGTTAGAGTAAAACGTCTGTAGTGAAGCGTGAGTACTTAAGCCTCGTCTATGAAGAGCCACTCACTAGTTCCCTTAGCTTCCATTCCCACTTCCGATTCAATGTTCTCCTCACCGGTGGCATTCGAAGCTCCACTAGCACGCCGTCGGCCGAGCTCTGCCAAAAGGACGGTATCAGTCTCTCCACCATCGGACTCCTCGGAGAGGGAAATGATTTTCAGGGCTCTCACCGTCTCCCTGTCGTGCTTCATCGAGGGGTTACCATGGATCATGCAAAGGCTGTTCAATTCACCAAACAGGTGTCGTCTCTTGCATCCACACTGAAAACTAGGAACTGTCGGTCTGGTGGGGCTCGAAGACTGTGGAGCTGGAGGTCGGGATGACGGAGAGGCAGGTGAGTGAGTGTTCAGTGTGGCCCGTGGTTGTGAATTTAGCCAAGCCTGGGTGGATCTTCCTTTGCTCCAACTGTCCGCAAGCTCGGTTGCAAGACCGCGTTCTACTCGAATCAGGCTCACTTTTGGTCGTCGACTCTCTCGGCCACGACACTGGGCCCAGCCAGCCACCAAGGCCACGGAGAGAATGCAAAATAGGACCAACAGAAAAAGGAAAATCAAACCCATAGAGAGAGCCGTGGCTATAGTCACCACTCCTTGTTCTGCATCCTTCGGCTTTTGTTGACTTGAAGTCGCTTCCGGCCTTGACGTGCCTTTAGACTGGAAAGTTACACTCTCGGTAAAATAATCCGTACTTCGTTTGGTTGAAATGAGCGGGGGAACAATATTTTCACTGGATTTTGTTGAAATCGCATCAGTTTCAACCTTTGCAGTATGTGTAGTAGAGTCCTCGAGCACTTTAGCGGTTGTTAAGGTATGTACTTCTGTCGGAGGCACAGACAATTCAGTTTCAACATCAGACAACAGGCTTGTGATTGTTCTCTCAGTAGCTTTTTGTGACGGCAGGGCTGAGCTGAGACCTTCGTTATTCCCATGTGTCACTGTGACATATTGCCCTCCTGTTTGGTCCACGGTTGATATTAGTGACGTAGTGGGAAGCGGGTCGACATTGACTGTCGTAGGAATGGACGTAGATGTTTCGCTTATTTCGGAATAAGTTGTGGTGAAGGTGGATTGACTGGATTTTGATGCTACCTCAAAAGCAGGGCTAGTAACAATGTCCTTCTGTACCGATGGCGCTGTCGTCCACCAATCACCAGAATGAGCTGAGAATGAACTAGGCACTGATGGCTGCACGGTTGTCCACACATAATTCTCGTTTGACTCCATCTGTGATTCATTTTCACTTGGTGTACTAGTGTCCAGGTCCAATGGCTGAGTTCCTTTTGGTAGGGTACCGAAACTATCTGGTGTGTAGGAGGTTGTGTCCGTTAGAACATTTATTGTACTTTTTCTGGACTCTTCTGTTGTTTGAAAAATAAATCCAGCTGGAGTTGTGAGGCTAGAGAGCTCATTTAGCGAATGCGTCGACTCTTTAGTTGTCAAAATTAAGTCAACAGATGATTGGGATGCAAATAAGGAGCTAGTCACTTGAGCAGGTTTCGAAGATTCAGAGTAAGGGGATTCAGTTGGAGCTTCTGTAATATCAGCCGAAGTCGAAATACTGTCTTTAGGACCTTTTGTTGATGTTGAACTTGAAAGAGTTAATATTGGGTCAGTTGCTTTCGTTGGCTGTGAACTCGTTTCTTTTCTGACTAAATCAGTTCTTTGTTCGGTTGCCATGCTTGATAAATACGAGCTAGCTGTCACAATTTCTGTGACCGGGGTTAGGGGTTCGTTTGAAGTAAAACTAGAGTCAACTGTTGGGGCCGAAGCAGGGCCACTGGAATCCAGAGAAATCACTTCGTCTGATTTCATTGGGTCTCCAAAAGTAGAAAGAACCTTTTCGCTCTGTTGGAGGGTGGACAGTATCGAATCCATTAGGGGCATTTCTGTTGTATATGTGCGATCTACGGTTGTACCATCCATCTTTTCGTTGTACTCTTCTGTAGAAAAAGTCTCTTTTACGATAGTTGTCACTTTGGAAGTTGTTAAGAAATGATCCTCAGTGTTTAAATGGATGGATGGCATTGTAGACCCTAACGAGTCCATTTTGTCAACAGGGTTTAAGCTTGAGATGATGGAGTCAAGACTGTCAAAATGTGTAGCTACTGAGCTCTCAAAATGGGCAAAAGAAAATGATTGTGTTGTTTCTTCTGCGGTATCATCCTTGGTGGTCAAAAATTGTGTTGTCTGTGAGTCCTCTGCTCCCAATGTGCTAATCGAATTAAAATTCGATGGCGTCGGAGAGCTAGACTGCCCAAGTAGAATATCTGTTTGAGTTGTAAATGCCCTATCGTTTTGGGAAAGCTCCTCATCCAGAGGAGCATTGCTTTGATAATTAGCTTGCGATGAAAAAGTAGTCGAGATGTCATTCAGATTTGTTTCAGTGCTTAAAGTAGCTACTGTTGTCGATTGGCCAACAGTAGATCCACCTGGGTTTTCAGACCCAGCAAAAGTTGAAGCACTGATTCCATTTTGAGGAAACGTAGCCTCGTCTGCTTCACCATGTGTGATTGCACCGGTGACAATGGAGCCAGTCGGAGAGGGAGTTATTCCAGTGCTTTCTCTTCCATTTTCATCAACTAAATTGGTCACAGATAAAGTAGTCAGATTGGGCAATGAGGTAACATCAGCATTGATTCCGGAAGTTGTGATTCTCTGCGGTAGTTCAGTCTCAGTGGTCTGGATTAATTCCTCAGTTGTTGCGTCAGTCGACTTTGATGTGTCGGTGACAGAAGAACTTCCAGAGAGGCCATTGGAAGGGTCCGTCCCCAATTCAGTCAGCGGCCCAACTTTTACCGTATAATTGGCTCCGTTTAAGGTCACCAATGGTGTGGTTAAGGTGGTTAAAAAGGGGAAAGGATTGTTTGTTGTCACCAGGCCTTCTTTATCGGTTCGAGGTAGTGCTGGCGCTGACGGATCCTGATATCCCTCTGTTGAAAGTCCTCCTGTGGTTATAAATGATGGCGGGACCGAATTTACTGATTCCACACCCTCAGCTGGTGGCGCCAAAGAGGAGGCTGGTAGATTATTGAGGGTAGGAGTTTCATAAGTGACTTTGGGGCTAAAACTGGTTGTTTCCACGGGTTGTGAAGGTGCCAGTGTTGGAGTAAGGACAATTTCCGAGGCCTCATTTCCAAAGTCCTCGTCCGTGACGCGGACACTGGCCTCATCATTACACACTACCCCAGAAATTAAAAGTAGAAATGCGTAATCTCGTACAGCAAACAGCATAACTAAGAAAAAAATGATGTTTGGGAAGATCTGTTCTGACCCTTTATCGGGCCACTATCGTTTTTCATTGGTCGACGTCAGTCGTTGACCAAGATAATGCATGCCTGCATTTATAATGAGAATGGGTCCATATGCAAAACCCAATGTGAGCTAGCAACGGCCTGAATATGTTAGCTTACATGCATGCGTCTGTAGAACCATCGTCTTCGTCACCATATCACTCAGCAAGATATGGAAATTGATCAGAAAATAGTACTTAATGAACGTTAGTTTGAGTAAATTTGGTGCCATCTGAACTACGTGTACTGATTTTAATTATTCTTAGTATTTTATAATTCTTCTATTTTCGTGTCAAAAAATAGTGTAATTTGTTTTCATGCTCGATATAAGGTTTGTGTCGGTTAAGCAAACACCCCAAATTGACAGTATGAATGATGAGAAGTGGGGCGTTTAGAGACAGAGAAATGTCAATTTTGTGCTAAAAAATGATCACCAATAAATACAAGTGCAAAAAGTTGGCTGTGGATAAGATTAGACTACAAAAAACTCTGGTCGCACTAAATGCGTCGCGGTTTCAACAATAGTGACTCTAATCCTCAAGACTTGCAGTAAGATGAAGGTAAGGTTGCCTTGAACAACTACTGAGTAACAATATCCATAAATTGGAAACAGGGGAAAGTACATTCTGGCGACGTTCACACCATATAGTACACACGATTAACAAACATTTTGGTATCTATGTTAACCTGAAGGATCAGTAATCACACCGAAAAGAAACATTCAAACCAATTATCTTGATACTTCTTTGGGTATAGTTTCCTGGCTGCTATACGTGACTAGAGCTACCAAGTTTGCTAAATCCTGGTGCTTGGATAAAAATTGTCTAGTAGCACAATTTCAGATTAAACACCAAATCAAGAATGAATCATTGAGATCTCATCAGTACCTTGCGCTGTATACTTTGCGGAATATCATGGCGTGCATCTTTAACTGCCCACCGATTTTCATCCACCTTATGTTATCAACGGATGTCGCAAAAATAATAAAATTACTGTAGTCTTTGTTACTCTGGTAAGTCGGATGAGAGTTCACTTTTAATGCAGCGGACACAGGGTAGGTGTAAAGAAAGCAAAATTAAAACAGAATGCATTTCATGCCCATAATTTCATTATAATTTTGACATTGTTCCACGAACTACGGCTTTTCAGGTTACTAATCAACTTTCAGTATGAGGATTTGTAACGTTTGCCCGTAACCAAAAGAGAACCACCCAAATAACGGTACCAGATACGTTGTTGACGCTAGAACCGACCTTCCCACGCTACTGCAAGAACAAGACCAGAGCTCGTGCAGAGAGCTTTAATCGCGGCAGCCAAAGTGCGAGTGAGCTTCCAGAATGCCAACAATTACATAGGTAAAGGGTGACCTTGACCTGATGGATGAAAACGAATTAACACGGATGCGGTTGTCAGTAGGATGACGTGGTGACTCGCCAACCTATGTGGCGTGGTTAGGGGGGATTAGCGTAAACAACAACGAAAACGGCGATGAGCCATCTCGGGGGCATCCTGGATCCTCAACAGTATAACAGCATGAAATACGGAAGAGGCTAACATATTTGTTGAGGTTTTGCCTTCCAGTCTGAAAGTATGGAACTAAAGCTCCTGTTCGAGGGAAGGAATGAGCAAGACGACGTAATTAAACCCGCTTTGAAATATTAAATGTCCTACGTGCTACATTAGTATTACCTTTGGTTTACAAATTCGAATTTCGTAAACCATTAAACGTGCCACTATATTAAAAAAATTTCTCATGAATAATGTCACTTATGCTATTGAATCAGATAATAATGAGGCAAGTGTGCAACCAGAAAGGGCCAAATCAGCAGAAAAAAATCACTTTAAAAAATTCTGAACTCGGGTAGAGAGTAAAATTTCACAAGGCAACATAATGGGTTTTTATTATAATGTGGTTGTTCATTCAACCTCACACGTGAATTCTGTGGGCGAATGATCGGAGTTTCAAAAAAAAGAGCAGAATATAACCAATGCAATCATTGCGTCAGTGCTTTTTAGCAGTAAATTTATGTCCATTTTGTTTGTCAGCATCCTAGGGCACTTTGGTGCGAAATATGACATTAATGTTGTCAAATCTCCTACTAAATTAAACTCTGATGGAAAACTTAATGTGGTCATTTAGATATTTAGCTGGCCTAAATGAAAAGCCAACGGTCTGAGCAGTGACGTTTAGGAACAACGAAGCGTTTCCGAATGCATCACGAAAATCCTTATAAGCTGTTCCGTTTTTAGAAAGACGGGACTAGAAAATTTCATAACCCCGTGCCCCAATTTCGTTCAACTTCTTCAAATTTGGATCTAGTTAGAAGAAAAGCAAATTATGTCTGCAGAAGTTCATGTAGCCTTTTCTTATTAATTAACACTGGATTGTGTCTGAAATCCTCACCGTCCTTCCACTTCACCTAATTTTGGGATGCTAAAAGCTAGGCCGAAAGCCTTGATATGCATTGAAAGGTTATTTATACAAAAGTTTTGATGACAGTTTTGTTTGATGTTCTTGGTGCCTAAATGCAGGTATTTTTTCAGGGTAAACTGTTTACACAAAATCCAATTCACGATGTAACCTTGCTTGCGTACGCATAAGCGGCTGTGTTTTAAAAAAAGGTAAAAATTATTGCCCTCTTATTTTGCGTTTTTCTGTGCAAATTGAAATCCACAGAAAAATAAACCAAGTTTACCCCATCGTCCAGCCGATGAAACTGGGCTGGTCGTTAATTTGACTTGCCTACCAAATTCATTACCTTTTGACGGTCGCAAAAGTGCGTAAAAACAAATTTCACAGCTAGACACAACTCGGCATCGCGCTAGATACGGTTCTCTTTTGCATGAGCACCACACCATAGCCCTCACGTTGGACATGCGTCGCATAGGCTGAAAAATGCAACTTAAAACAGAAATATCGATTTTAGGATATCTAATATGCGGACCAGAGCGTTATCTTAAACCCAAAGCCATATCTCGAGTGAGGAATAGATCAACAGAACTCAAGTCAATACATTAAATTTTCAAGTTGCAGAAACAATGTATCGCAAATTGAAAGTTTATTTTCTTCTACTTAGAGTAATTACTGTATATCCCTAACCCAGAACTAGGTCTGTAAGCTAATGTATCTTGTTTAATTAGTTCTGTCGATGTGAAATTTCTATATCCAAGCCTATATTAACTTAAAAGCAGATTTCATCACCATGCAAACTTATCTAAGATTGTCGGAAGAGAAACTAAATTGCATCACAAAGTGGTGCATTGCCCTAGCACACAGGCACAAAAGTTTCCCTTTCAATGATTATTAAATTCACAACAGCTGATCATATTAATATTGGGCCCTGCAACTTTGGCTGAAAAAAAAGGTTCAAATGGGTAGGATGGTAACGTGTAACGTTTTGTAAACGTTTTCAAAACTCGGTCGAAGTTGGTTTGCAACAAGCGACTTTTATTGCTTTGCTGGTATACTTAATTTACTCTAGGCTATTGGTCTGCGTCATTGCAACTGAAACTACTAATCAGCAAACACTCAAATGCAACCGAGCTTAGGTCTACGGTGTAGTAACTTTTGGACTTTTAAGAATGTACGTTGCACCACAATTCTCAATATCTTAGAGGAATCGTCTTAAAGTTTTTGCCCACTTACGGGTACACGAAAGAGCATGATCATTAAATTCCAATGGAAATCTCGATGTTTAAAGTAAAATTCACAAAGCACAACACTGGGACAGGTCCATGTCACTACACTTGATGCCCTCGTTAAGAGTGTGTTTAATAACCAAAAATTGCATCAAAAGTCTTATTAACTTAACATGAAGAAACAAAAAATTCACGAAACACTAGTCCATACTCCTGAGTACAGGCTCTTTTTACCTGAAACCCCTTTTTTATTCCAAAAAACTGGCACGATGCACACATAATCGAATAAAAAACAATAACGAATTAATTATACAAGTTAACTCCTATACAAATTAGCTTTAATTAAGTTTATGCTAACTGTTTGTCAAGTTTGGGGGCATATTTTGAATGACAAAATAAAAAATTAAAAGGAGTATGTATGATTACAGTTTTATAATCTCTGTCCGTTCACCTGTATGGTTCATAAATTCAGAAATGAAAGCCTAAAATATACTAATGCGATCGCGCAATTGGAGACAAGAATAAACGAATGGCCTTTGTTAGAAATTTAAATTCCCAAGAAGCTTACAAAGTGGTGATACCAATTACGTTACTCATGCAACACCCAAACTATTAAAACCCAGATCGATCACATGTAAACCATAATTGGGGTGCATAGTTGACAAGACCGGCAATGATTTTGAAGTTTTTTTTAAAACTACAAAGCATTTATAAATGACCACGTAAATAGAAAATGTTTAAATTTTCTAAAACCAAGACCGTACACTCATGAGGTCAGATACACACGCACATTGCGATTTGAAGTTAAAATTGAGCACCTGAAATAACTGCTCGCCAGATTTAGACCTTCAGTGATCAATTAGGGACAGGTGTTCTAAATAGCAAATATACTTCAGCAAAATTATTTGCTTGTTTGACCACTTAACGTTAATTGGATGCTGCAAGGCCAAGGCTTTGAAGAGGGTGTATCGTAACTTCCCAACTATCCTTCCATTGTTTTCCACCAAGAACCACAATGAAAGAGGCCTTTCATTGTCTTAGTCAAGCTAAAGCCCATAGCGATTTATCACTCTTAACCACTTCACTTTGATTGATTCCCATTGTTAGAAGTCTCGCACCAATTTATGAGCTGTTCACCCTTTTGATGAAATTTAGCATTTAACTTGGTTTGTATTGCTTCAGCACGGTGGAACCAAGATTTTCTTTTACTCATGTTATTGTAAGTAACCATTTTTTCATGACCAATAATGAGACATATCGAGTAAGGGACGATTTACTTGCATGTGAGAGGCGAATGTCGAGAGGTTGTGTTGAATGGATTTCTTTCAGTCCAAACCGCATTTTAAATATTACGTCTCTTAAAGAGTTCAAGGCATTTTAGAAGATCTTTAGTTGTTGCATACTATCTGCCTATACCTCCTGCAATCACTCACACAGCTAAATTACAGTTCAATTTAATTATGGTTTTGACTAGGTTACCATCATCTACTAAAGTTAGATGACCAGGATATTTGTCAATTTTGTCTAAGTACTCTGTAAAACATATTCTTAAACATATGTTTTTGTATCGAAACATTTGACACTGCTTAAAAAAAGTCTCCTGCATGACCACTCGAACTTCTGGCTAACACAGGATTACAAGCGCATGACACACCGTGTGCAATCATTTTGCGCTCCCTGCTAAAGTTAGGACTAAACTAAAAACTTCAGTAATATAATGCTAAATTTGGTTCTAACATGGGCTAAAATAGATTTCTCACTTGGGTCAGTGAAAAGAAGTCTTTGAATTGACATACTTTCACTCGAACGAACCCAATCCAACAGTTCCTTATTGCTAACAAATTGGCAATTAGAAATAACAAAGGAATTGTAAGCATTGAAGCAGACATAAATGATGGGCTATTGGCTTTCGTCAGTACAAACGTCATCCAGCCACAAAAACAGCAGTTCTTAATCAATGTGCTTGTCAAGATTCTTGAACTGAAAGACATAGAGGCATTTAGGTGGGTGCTAATGAAATGATTACTCCCACACTGCGCGAGTAACTACGTGCCCTGATATAACGTTAGCCCCTTCACGAGTCATAGAATACAGATTTGGTTAATGAGTATTCTCGAAGTCTTCCATCAGATGTGATGCCCATCCACACTAGTATCTAGTGGATCCATCTGTTCTCACGAACTGAAAAAAACCACAATTATTCACGCATACTTAATTAGGGATTTAGTCTTATTAGTAGGGGCTATTTGCGACGAGGATCCACTAATCATGCTTAATATCCACGAAAACTTCATCCACACTACAACTGGACCTGACACCTAGGTGTCAGGGAAAACTGTGGTGTCAAAAATGAATCATTTCCTGTCAGGGATAAAAATCGAAATTTGATTATACCCATTCTTGATGTTCGATGAAAAAGCGGGCTTAGTTAATATTGTTTCTTATCGCAGTAGAAGCTTTAATCGACCTACACTATCATTTTATAAAAAAAAGAGCATAAGGACATATTCAAAGCAGAACATAGCAATCAGGCGAAGAAACCCTAATCCAGCCCTTTTGATCCCTCAGTTTTGTTCATCAAACTATTTACAATTTATGAACGGTCGTTCCACAAACATGCGCTAAATATAGGCCCATGCTTTCATTAGTTGCCGATCGGTAGTAGCATCGACAAATGAATGCGTACGCAAAACCACTCAGTACTACCCTCCATGACAGGCTATATACAGTTACCCACTCATCCTAATCAATCGCATGTCTCCTTCTTGACGTTTAACATTTAGTTGTCTATGTCTACAACAACTTTGCTCTTAGATGTCAGTCACTGTACATGTGACAACTGCACCCAGGCAATGTGTTTCAGTAATTTAGGCTTACGCACTTAATTCATTAGCTCTATTCTGGACATATATACTTCGTGCATGTGATACTTAAGCATATGTACCCATAAAACTGTAAATTACTGATTACATCGACAACATTAGTGTTCATGTCATTGAGTGTTTTGTTTTGAAAGGTTTATTCTACGACAAGATGTGAAACTTTTAAAAAACACACAAACACCTTTAATGCCCAAAATATATTGCATGGATCAAGAAATGGATTTTTTCCGCACTCCTCTTGTTTAAAAAATCAATATAAATACCTGTCCTGTGTAACTACAAAAGCAAAAACCTGTCTTTGTCTATCACTTTGAAATTTCGAACAGTTAGCCAGATAGTAAACATGTTCAATAAAACCATTAATCGGTTTATTAGTAAACGAGGGACACACTTCAAAGAAATTTCTTCAGGTTATCAAAAAACTTAAAACAAAATTTGAACAAAACACGAAAGCTATGCATTACGTATTTTAAAGCTGCATATCTCCGAATCCCAACAGGGCTTTTTTGATCGCTGTTCACCGTAAATCGGTAAAATTAGTTCTGAAAACAAATTCTGGTACTACTGCGATAGGTACTTAAAAAATATTTGTTTGGCATTAACAACAATTTTGCTGAAGAGTACAAGCACGAAAATTAGTCAGTAATGGTAGTTTTTGTGCAAATCTTGTTTGTTATACAGAGACAGTTAACTCCACACTTCGAGTAGTGAAGGTATCGGGAACTAGACAAGATGGTTGACTCTTGTATATAATTTGATAAGCTTTCGAATTGAATTTTATATTGTTGAAGTTTAGGACTATACATTTTAATTTATTATACGCAACTACACCTAATAAACTTGCTAATAGCGTCAATGCATATTTCCGTCAGCGCACCTTGAGCATATTGTAAAAATCTTATGCCCTAGGACGAATTCATGTGCTACTATATTAAGGTGGTTGAAATGTCACAAGCGAATCCCATAAAACAAAAGTGCTTATCAGAGTCTAGCATTCGAATCTGATTTCTAAAAAACCTGCTTTTCATGAATCCTTGTCTCTGTCTTGCTTCAAATTTTTCACGCTGTCTTTTTAACACTGGTAAAAAGATGATTGGTTGAGCTCAGAGAGTGGATCAGCATGGCTGCGGTCTATGCGCCATTCATAATTCCCACATGTTAGTGTTCAGCGTCGGTAACTTTCGGTTATTTCTGCAAAAATGAATAAATTGTATTGTTTGACTTGTTATTCATCTTTTTTGGGCTTAAAATCTGTAGAACAAGGCCATTGTCCATGTGTTCCTTTTTTGTGCAGTATATATATTTTTCTGCGCTGCAAGTTCTTTTGCTTTTCCTGTTGACAGCACATCTGGAAGCCTCAGATCCGCACCAATGCACGCGTGCATTTTTTAACATTAATTGTCACGCCTTATGGTAGTAACACAGGACACTTTCAATGAGACATTTCCGGCTTCCAGGTTCATGATCCATAATGTCAGTTGACCCTTTTCTCAACATTATGTTATACCGCAATTTCGTTATTGTGCAATGTTAACTTGTGAACAGTCAGCTTTCATTGATTTATGTACATTTGCCAGGAATGATTTTCATGTTACCTGTCTATTCGATACCATGTTATCGTGTCTCAATTAGATGCCATCCTTTTTCACAAATAATCTGGTGTTATTTGAAGGGTCCTGATATTCATCTTCCCTTTAGAAAGTGCGTTTGACTACATCTATGGTTATACGTGAATGTAAACTGGTTGACAGTGTATATATTCATGCTGTATCTGCGAAATTATTGTTTTTGTCATGTTTTTGTTGATCTTAGTATCGAATTTGCTTAAGTTTTTGCATATTAGGCATCCACTCCGAGCTCACTGATTTGCTTTGCATGTGCAGCCAAACTTAATGTCCTGATCCTATCTTACATCTTCTCACACAATTTCCTAGATCTTCACTTTATTAGGTAGCTTGTACTCCGTGTTGAGCATGTAGATCGCCCATCGTTTCCAGATACATCATCTCAGTCCTAGCATTTTGGTTGTCCCGGTTGCTTTTTGCTACTAAGATGCCTTAATAGAAGCGTTTCGGAGTAACCACATGATACTCTTCGCCTCTTCATCCTATTATAATTTCTCCGACCCCTATTCGTTGATGTTGAAGTAAACCATCGTAATTGATCGATTTGTATTTTTCATTGGCATTTTCCACTTTGACACGGCATCGTACTATTTGTGGCGCTAGTAAGGTTTTTCTATGTCCTAACTTTCATTTAGTCAAGTCCATATTGCCTCATTTTATCATTTGACCTTAAAGTATGTGTCGTTCGGCACACTTCATCTAAATTATTTTCTTCCACGGCTCCATTATCTTTTTTTGTTTTACGGATTTTAGAATGACAAGTTTTCCTCTATCTATTGGTAATTTTACTGGTAAGTAGATTCAAACCTATAATTTAAAGTTCTGTTATCTTGGTACCACTTTAAGAAAAAGGAACAGCCATTAATGGAAGTTCCAAAATCTTAATATTAGAATATTACTTTGGTCGCATTAGCCGTTGTAGTCAGGGAGCATGTTGGCCAAAAGTGTGTCGGAATTTATTACTTGGATTGTTTATCCCCTTCTCAATCGCTTCCTACACTTATTCGTTATTTGTTGTAACAGTAACAGCTTGCCGAAGCTAGGTATCCACGTACTTTGTGAACTTCCGTTTTGCCAATGTTTTTTTCCATTAGGATTTCATTTCGTACTACTGAATAACCTACATCGCAATTTGCACTGTAGCCATTCGCATTTCCCCAAACAAGGGAGTGGAGCACAGTCTTTATGCGGTTTCTAAGACACCCACGGATGTCAAGGTGTACAACATCCCTCCTTTCTTCAACAGAGCATCCCTGAATGAGTTTTTCTCCTCATTTGGTCCAGTGACTCACCTCTACCACGATAAGGTAATTGATTTTTTTCTAGCATTTATTTTAAAAAAATTTCTTTCATATGAAGTTCAAAAGGTCATTACAATCGAACATTTTACAAAAATCTTGGTTGCATTGAGAGTTAATTTGGTAGCGGGTTTCTCCTGTTGCTATAGGTTTTCCAGTTTGATAGCGTTAACGTGCTATTGATGCTACCTCAACTCATATGTTTTCTGCCATTTTAATAAGTTTGTAGAATATTGAAGCTCCCGGGGTCAATTTTAGAGCTGTGCAGTACAGCTCGTGCGTAGGAATTAGCGAAGTTCACTTCACGCACGAAATCCTGAAATTATCTTTTCAAGCTGTTTCCCACTTTAGGCGTATTTTAGTGAATCGAAAAGCCTTGCAGTTCGATAGAAATGCCTCGTTTTAACTTATTATTCGCCAACGTAGCATTTCAGTCCCGACTATGCTGTTCTTAAGCTAATTCAGCACTGTGCCTTTTCCGTATGCAGCTTTTGTTTGAAACCGCATCGCCACATCTGACTGGCTAAAGTGGGACGCAAGTAACATGAAATTGATTTCTTTGGAAACTTTAGACCTCGAAGTAGTCAGGATTCGTTGAAAAGCCTCTTGAGCCGTTATTATCAAAACTAACTCAAGTTCATGTGTGCTTTGTCCATCTCCAATGCACCTTTCGAAGATATATTTCCAGTCCGTTTTCCTTTTCACGGTGTAATTGGGAAACGCAAATTTAGGTTCGTCTCTTACCTTAAAACACGGTTGACAAAAATGTGTATCTGAGGAGAGTTTAAATTTTTTTTATTTATATCAGAGTTCTCGTGGTAGTGCTCTACCACGAATTAATGAGCGGGGTATTGTCGTTGCAGTAGGAATTTGTCCCAGGATGCAGTACCCTTGGTACCCTTAAAGTGGCTCTCATTTGTATTCTTTCTGGTTGCCTAAGGGGAATCTTTGCTTGTTATCAAAAAGCCGTGTTGAGAGTCTGCCTATCTGTGTTGTCAGTAAGCTACTGCTAAATCAAGATTCGCAAGACGGTTTTTTGTTGTTTTCTACGCTGACAAAGTTACCGAATGCGTAAGCTGTCTGATGGTGTTGACCGTTGCTCTATGTTTTGAAGTCCACTGACACACAGCTTGGTCTAAACTTCACGGATTAAACGAAAACCCAAATTACTCGTTAACTGATCTGCCTCACCGGGGAAATTCAGCTTCTAACTGTGAAAGCCACAAGATGCCAGTTAGTCTAAAACAAAACTGACCAATTGCCAAATTTGTGCACTATTGATCCGCCAGTTTCCTTGTACGTTTGGTAGTGATTCAATTTAAGAAAATACTAATATTTAGAAGTTGGAAGTCTCTCCACTCTTCTCTCTATCCACTTCCCCTGTCTTGTGGGAAGGGTTTTTCTATAATGACATACGCTGGACCTTAATGTTTGTTTTGTTTGATTACAGAATAGCTGTTCTGTCCTTGTCTCGTACGAACTGAAGGATTCTGCAGATACTCTGCTTTCTACCTCCATGTCCATAACCTACGCCGTTCGCCTGCCCAAAGCCACGCTCAATCGTGAGTTAAAAGTTTATCCCATATCTACTAGATGAATTACTACTTTCAGCTGTCCAAACCACTCCCACCGATGTTGAGTCGTTCAGTGTTATATTTAAATAACCTATTTTGTAGAATTTAATTGAATCACTCGCGGATTGCAGCCCCCTTATTTAATGTATTCAGACCCACCGAAATTTCTGCCTGATGTGTATCCTTAGACGCCTCAGAAGGCGGATTTTCGAACACCAACATGCTAACTGTCCCACTGAATGCGTCCTCTTTTGGTTGCCGATCTTCCACCTCGGAGTATGTGACGAATAGCTGCACTGTTGTACGTTGGATCGCAAAGTAGCAATAGTTTAACTTAAGAATTTCGGGTTTCATTGCCAAAGTCTGTGTATCTCGTACTAGGCCCCCATGTAGTTATAGCCAAACTGCCTTTCTATCAATCTCTGCTAGAGTTTAACGGTGGCTTGGTTTGTCACCGAATGTGTATTTGCCTTATGTATGCGGATTTATGAAAATTCGGAACGCGGAGTCTTGACGCAAACACCAGTACTGGGTGGTAACTTTGATTCTGCTTCAGTCAGTATTCAGATTTTTTGTGCACCGATTTCAAACCACGGCACTCATCACCATCTTGTTTGTACACTTGTGTAACCTTTTAGAGGTCGTCGTGGATAGCAAGAAGTCTTGGCTGAAGGATTCCGAGGCACTTAAAAATGAATCGGAGGAATTTCTACAAAAGTACTTTAAAGAAAAGCTTTCTAAGGACGAAAGCTCTGATGAAGATTCCGATGAATGGGTCGTAGTCAAACCCAAGAAACGTCGCATGCGATAAAGACATCATCTGTCGTTTGTACTGTAAAAATTGTTTATTTTTTAAACGTTTAAATAAGCTCTGTGCATGTACGTACGAAACCTCAAGAGCTTTATTTATCCGCTTTTTATCGAAAGGCGTCTCAAGTCATGCTCTGTGTCATGGAGTGTAGATGGTAAATCACTTCAAGGTCGATGGTACTGAAATCCCGGGTTAGTTTTCCGCGTGCTTGTGCAATAAAGTCGAGCCATGTGATTGAGGCTCACCTTGTCGAAGAACACACAAGGGTTCGTAGGATTTGTGAATTTCTGATAAACAAAATGAAACCTGTGACGGGGGTGCTGAAGTGGCGATTTTTAACGAAATTGGCTCAACGTTACGCAAAACGGACAAACCTTTCTGGTTGCCAACCGTTTGGTGGTTTCGGGCGGCAGCGGATAAATTGAATGTGCGGACACAAATACTTGTAGCGACAAGTGTACTGAAAGGAGCTGACAGCGGTTTCGACGTATGAGCAAGAATCTGCATTCATTTATGAAGTCATAAACACAATTACTGAAGTAGTTGAGCTTTATTCCCACAAAACCTCATCGAAAGGAGGGAAAATAGAACTAAATAGGTAGGATGGAAAATGCTGTTAGTGTGATCTGAGCTGGTTTGTTATTATTAGGGCTTGAAGACATTTGCTGTTTTGCTGCATGTTATCGAGCAAAGTTTCATCATATAAATTGGCTCGAAAACGACGATAAAATAGTCTTGTTTTCGAATTGTATTAAAGCACAAAATTAGGCTCAAGTAGCAAGTAACAAGTTTACTGGTTGCCACTAAATAAACACGCGAATTTGGTAGAGACCAGAAGTTATGAGTACTTGCTTAAATTGTACGAAAATCTATACATTGTCTCAGCTAGAAACTCTTCTGCATTCAAACATCACCATGAGTTAAGGTTTGAATTATCTTTAAGGTGCTTATGTGAAACACAATGGGAAATATGGTTTCGAATTACTGCTTTTCTCTTATGTGCGAGTTGCTAACACATCTAGGTGTTGCAGAGTCAATTACTATGTCTTAACTTCTCTACCTAGGAAATTGTCAATACTAAAAACTCTCCTGCGTAGACTGTAAAGTTGCATAAATAAATTTGGACGCAACCACCATGTTTCGCCAATGGTTGAGTAAGAATTATTGGACACCAGTGTCTAGATTAAATTAGTTCTCTGAATTAGTCGAGGGTAATCTTTCATTATCCCTCACAGAAAAAAGGCACTTGATCACAATTTTTCACAATCCTTAATGCTTAACTTGGTGCTGAGCCACTTGCTAATACTACCAAGTAATGTGGAAATTAAACAACGCTTAGCTAAGTTGGCAGATTGCAAGGCAAGTAACAACGTTTGAATGTTTAAAAAAAAGTGCTGCTACAAGAAATATAGTAGTAGTTGAAGACGAAAGTTAACCAAAGTAACATGCGAAGTATCAATCTGAGAGTTAAACTCAGTCAACTAAAAAAGGCATTTAAAAAATCGAAATCCCGTGTCATTAAAGCAAGCTCCACAATTTCACACTTATCACACAGATACTAAAGCGAAGAGGCAAACACCTGGGTAGGTAAGAAAGGATTGTGTCGTCCTAATAATTCTCCTCTAGCTCCTGGAAAACGGTTGTAGCTGCTAGCGGAAGCACCCCTGGGGTCAAGCATCTAGCATTGTGCTCGGCTATATTTTTGCAACTCTTGATGTAAATATAACTAATTCATGCAGTATCGATTTCGATTAAAAGCTAAGCCTCTAAGTCCTAATAGTGGACACCGTCAGAAGGTCCATTCCAGTGATGCAGCATGCTTTAGGGAACAGGAACTTCATAATAAGCACTGTAACACCTCTTTTTCGCCATGGCTTCAAGTTCTCTTTCGTTGACACTATGCATATTGCTAAATTACTGATCTCCGTTTAGGGCTATTCGTTTACGATTCTCGTATTTATCACGTCAATATTGGATTATTATTAGTCCTAATTAGATTATCAGATCAAAGCTCCTCTTTTTCATTGTGTCCGGATGAGTTGTGGTGCTAAAATCGACTTTAAGAGCGTAGGAATTCAAACACATAATTTTACTTCACATTGATTTATCATATACAACTACACCTTCCTAAACAAAAAAGCTACCACATAATTGGACTTATGGACGTGACGGATGTACAATTTAACCCCTAATGACAAAAGGCATATTGTTGCAGCGTCTTGGTAGATAGGATCAGTTATTTATGCTTCATTGTGATTTATAAGGTCTTTGGTGTTAAACATGGTCTTAGTTTAGACGCGCCTACAGTTGTAACAGCGAAGAACAATTCGATCCCACCTGAATTCGTATTCAGAAGATCGGATATAGCTCTCTTAAATACTATCGTTTTCTGTTTTGACTAGGATGCACAAGAGCTGATCCGTGCTGATTCATGAAAATTTGTCGATAGAGCTACAAATAATGATTTCCATTAACAATCCTAGAGACATCAAAACCACTAGTTTGTCCTGCGTATCCTTAAACAACTCCTGTATTCTTCGTCAATGCGATACTTCCTACTCTGACCTATCATTGACATTTAGCGCCCACGTAATGTTTGTTGTCATCCAAAACCACCGTTTGGTTGGTAATCCTACGAGTCTATTTGTCTTGGATAACTCTGTGTCCAGATTCAGTCAAAAATTCAGCATGCTTCAGTTTTCTGTGTTTAATGGCAATTTACTAATCTTTACTGCATGTACTTCACAATCATATCAATCGCCGTACCCGATGGATTATAAGGTTGCAATAGAAGATATATTCTTTGTTACCTAATTACTAACGCAACTAAGCAAGTTTTTTCCACTGCATTCTCTCCTTGGTTGAGGGCTTCCTTGTGTCAGCTAGACAATCAGCGTTGTCAGGTCATTTCGCTTCACTTGTCAACGCATACTGGAGACGTTTTGTAGCATATACTACTACATCGATTATGTGGTGTTGCGTCGCTAGAACAACCTCAGTCCGTGCTTCACCAACTTCACTCTGTGCTCTTTGCACTTCTCGCAAGGTGATCGCAATTCGCTCCTTCGCTTTACCACGATCTGGAAGCTTGCCCGGGGTGTGTTCAGAGAACCCTTGGGGATCGCCTGCGCAACTAAAATTAGTTTCCTATGGTTTATTCACCCCCAAATAACGATGCCTCTCGTACCTGTCAATAAATGGTTGCTGGTAGATACAATGGACGAGACGTCTGGATGATACGAACTTTGATTTTTGCAAAACCCTTTGAGTGCTAAAACAACCAATTGATATTGGCAAGCACGTACTTGCGAACCAAAATACAGGCCTTCACATAACCAATAAAGTTAAATGTGGAAGTTTTCTTATGCAAACGCGAAGAGTTATCCCAGGTCTTCATTTTTGCTTAAATGGAAGAGCGCGTTCGTGAATTAACTAGTAATGGGACAATTCTCGTTTGGGATATTGCAAACACCCCAAGTTACGTCTTCCCACGCTACTCCCTCTTTACCATTCATCCAGTTTTTAGTTTACTTTTGGAGTCCACAAAAGAAACGATCCCACGACCGCTGGGGAGTGTCGGTTTGAAGGTTGTAGAGCTCTGCAGCTGATTTTCCAAGCTGGCTAATGGGGCAACCCAATGCATTTCTACTTTGTGCAACTAAAAGCTCAAGTTTAGATCCTTAACAGAAGCATCAAACTTGACGATAATTGAGTATTTGCGTCACTTTCACACAATAACAAAATCGTAGTGTTTGGAAAGGCAGTCTGGTTTTCAGAAAAGTTTTGGAAACAATGGAGGGCGACCCGCAGAACGTTTACAAATAAAATTACGAGTTCTAGCAAATACGTGTTTGGTGTAAACATCAGCTCTATAGAAGATGTCATCGAAGTCTACGCAGTTCCGTAGTAGGAACATTAAACGGAACTTCGGTATTTAGTTTCGCGACACTAGACCTGGAAAAAGTAATAAGGCAGCATATACTAGTCTCCTGCCTGGAAAACACGCAGCCCCAACCAAACAGCTACGTGTTTTTGTAAGAAGCCCAAAATCCTAAAATCTGTGAGCACCAATAGGGGAAAATCGCGAAATTTGCGGATAGTCTGCGGGATTGAATCGAGAAAAAAGGTAATTCTGCTCACGAACTTTGACCCATGGTGCCAAAAACTCACCAGGATTCAGACCCTAGTACTTTTATGTGGGAGGTGCTCCGCGCAGAAGCGTTAAAGGGCACAGATGCGCTAGATCCAAGGCCGTAAGTCGGTACTATCAGGAATCTGCGGTCGAGGTGCATTACTTCCGCAAGGAAAGCCCCCCGCGGAGAGATCCAGGTGAGCCACAGTTATCGTACCGATAAATCAGGGAAGTAACTACCCTGTCCTAACACTTCACAAATTTTTGTAGTCCAAAGTACGACCAAATGCAGTAATTCAAATAAGACAAAGGAACAAATATTTCCAGTACATAAAATTAGACTAATTAGCAAAATACCCAGCACATTTGAAAAGCAGATTAACAAAACAGCGCAGACGTGGTGAGGAAGTGAGATACATTACAAAGGAGAGGCGGTTTTAACAGGCAAAACGGATTATTCACATGTACTTTGAGGCACTGGAGCGCCAAAGCATGTAAGGCACAACCGAGCAAGGCGCCATAATAAAGGCAAAGCATATCCATTCCATCTAAAACAAAGATGGCAGAGACTGAGGGAGCAATCAAACGAGACTAGAAATTAAGACCACATATTAAGCAGTCCAATGAAGTCATTGGGGTGCAATGATTTCGACTCAGGATACAATTGATAAGTGAAAAATCTTAGGAGGGCTGTGAAGAAGGATTTGGGGGATATTTTGCTATGATTGTAGGGTTAGACTACAATTTTGGTTCTACTATAAAAAATTATTAAAAATAAGAACTATCAGATAGAGAAGATTCGGGCAAATTTGTAACTTTACCCAATGCGAAGAGAACTGGCGGTTGAAGACGGAAGGAACTAAGATTTGACGCATCCCGGGGGCAGACGAGTAGCCATACTACAAAAATCGGAACCACACCGGCTAGACAGTGTTAGTAACTTAAGACTACGACTGCCTAACGGGCTAACAAATAAAAGTGACTTGAAGTAAGGAACCAACCGTAAGTTAAAGCCATAAGATAGCGAACTGAGTGCGGTAACTCAATGAATTCTAGCAAATTCGTCCCATTTTAAGTAGAAAACAGGCAGCGTCGCCGTCCATACCGTAACTGTTGAATCCGGACCAGCTTTGTACGTGACCTCAGCACTGGTGAAGTTGTAAAGGCCCACAGATCGCGGGATAACAATTACAGAATGGGTAATATTAGTCGATGGGGGTATGGAGGCCCATCGAGTGGATCGGCTTCCGTGAACGAACGTGAAGTCACTTTCGGGAAGATTGTCATGAATCTCGATATCACGAGCAGTTCTCCTATGGGATACAAAATATGAATAAAAAAATAACCACACGAATCAACAAAGGCTTAAAAAAGCTTATCAAAAGCATCTACAGATACATTTCACCAAGTCGCAAGGGCTTCGCAATATGGAACGAGTTAGGACCGCCAAACTTAAAATGTTTTGGGAACCGACATCATGGACATCGATAAATGGAAGTAGCGAATTAGTTGCGCCAGTTTCCAAGAAATAGATCATTAGTATCTATAGCACTGCAAAGTTGTACATAGAAAAAACACGTACATGGGACTAAGATTGTAGATGGTATAAAGGATTGTAACTTCCTTTGCTTCGACCAAGTAGCGATTAAGGATCTCTTTGGAAACCGCGAGCGTCGCATGATCCTGCGAACCAGGTGTGACCGAAGCGCCAACAGAGCAAATAAAACAGAACGTCAATACAGATACAAAGTTCATTATTATGGCTATGCAAAATTAGTACAACGTCAACGTTCATTGGGCCAATCCGAGGAAAGTCAATGAAAACGAAATCAATGTAATTCACATTTCTGAGATTCTAAATCCACCTTTTTTGTGCATAATCAAAAACTCACTTGGGCCTATAATTCAAAATCACAAAAGGAAAATATAGCTGTGCACGGTTTTCGTAATCAGTGTCATGCATAGCTCGTTTTAGAAAATTACAAGCTTTTAGGTAACTGCCGTGTTTTAAGTTGGATAACTAAATTTTCATGTACAAATGCTTTGATCTCAGCTTATTTTTTATTTTTTTTCCTACTTAGCCGATATAAGATATGTGACTTGCTGTTGATGTTTGTTTATGGCGCCTTAACTTTAAATTATACTTTTCGTTTATTTTTCCAACTATTATACGCAGGAACAATAGATTTTGATGCTGGCAAACCTTGCCACTTAAAATAACTAAATAAAAATAAATTGGAATGCATTTTGTCAATGTTTTTTAAACCCGTCATAGCTTATCGAATCAAACTCATGGCAATATTCCACTCTACTGTATCAGTCAACACAACGCAACTAGGTTGAGCTGCCGAGAAAACTGTTGTACATCATTCTCTCTGATCTTTTTTAGTTAGTACTCAGGGTAGAGTAATCGGCCTAGATTGAAGCAGTGGCCCCGACGTGGTTCAAGGCAACATGCCTGGGACCTCAACACAAGCAAAATGCCTGATTCAATGACTAAATACGTTGTCGCTGATAGGGAGTTAATGGCTATAGTTTAAAACGTGCTCTGAACTATTACTGGGTTAATTAATTCAATAAATGCCTATTAGGTGTGTAAATATATTGGATTGTAGAAATTGCCTTTAAGTTATTTTTCGAAGGCTGGCATAACATTTAGTCAGAACAAGTTGGTAATTACTGTTGTTCGTCACATAAAAGTGAACTGTTTTGTGATTATCGCAATTTTGTTTTTTTTTTCAGGCTAATTACACGAAGAATTGTCATAATAAGCAAAATAAATTGGTGTTTCTGTACTCTTACGACACAGGTGCATGCATTGACTGTGTGATGGGAGAAGGTTCGAGGAACTTAACCGTTTTCCGGAACCATTACAGGCATTTGTAGCATTAAAAACAATTAGTATGCTTTGTGAATTTACTCTTTTCACAGTTTTACAACTTGAGGTAGAAACAATAGTCCAAAAATAGCGGCCAATGACACGGCTAGTAATGTTGACAGAATATTCTTCTGTTTACTCATTTTTCATATGTGTATGCTTAAGTGTTACAAATACGGGGTATGTTTGTCCTGATATGAGTTTTTGGATTAAGGTAACTGCGCGGGGCTCAGCGACTGAAATAGTCGAATGAAGGCAGTTAAGACATGGTATGGAAATGACATTTAAGTGTTAAATTGTCATGGAGATAGGCAATCAAATGTCGAAGATGATGGATGACACTAACATCTGGGTCACCTTTGTTACTAGCAGTCAAGAACGAAACATATGTACGAGTAGGATAAGTAGAGGGAACTGAAGGTGGTCTGTCAAAATGTTTTTAAGGCGTTCAATTATTTGTTTTGGCAACTCAAGGAAACGTGAGTCTATGAGGAGATTATAATTGGTAAAGACCATGAGCAATTTAAGAAGAGTTTTGATCAGCCAAACAGAGTGGTCAGAAGCACCATGTCCTGCCTCGAAGTTTTTACTACTTGGCGACCCAGTTTCATATTTATAATATTGAGCGATATTTGGGTTTTTTGAAAATTGCTACTGAGATGTATGGGGGACACTACCAACTAAGGCTGTTTGTCGTCAAATGTGAGGAATGATCCTATTTTTGGTACAATTAATTTTCAGCACCTCTTTCAGCCCCAGTATCGGAGCTGATTCATATTTGAAGTTGCTTTCTGCCTTCACATTTTGAGTGTTATTTTCAGTTGTTGTTTGAATGAGGTTTTAGTTGATACTTATGATTGTGGAGATTTTATCTAGCTCGGTTTGTGGAAGATAAGTTAGTAATTGACTATTTAGTTTCCATGCACCCCTGGCCTTGGAATATTGGACTACCATTGATTTTGGAGTTTGCGATACTTCTTGAGTGTTTAGGTTACAGTGACGATAATTATGGCTTGAATTTATTCTTAATTTGATTAATCACCAATACCGCGATCCTGTAAATTTAACAAAATGATTCAAAACCTGAATAGGAAAAAAGAAAAACTTTTTTATAGATGTTTAAATCTACAGCTTTACCTACTACACCGAAATCATGTGCCTGCCAACCCCGATTCCTGCGTTTGGCAATCAAGAATGTCTATCTGCAACAGTATTTTTACACGTGAGCCGTAAAAGTTACTGCGAGCATGTGACTGTGTGGTAATAAACGTTTATGCTAATTGAAGATGCATTTACTCCTTTGAAAGGCTGAGCAAAAGGGTTGTGGGAAATACAAAGAATAAGATGCGATTATCCACCACTTTATCTACCCGAATTGGAACTGTAGAGGCATGTGAGATCTTGAAATTAACTGGACGTTGACTACAGACTGTGTTGGGACAGCACACATTCCAAATTAATCAAATTACTTTTAAGTAAAACGTTTGGTCTTACGAGGCGAACTCTCAGTTGGGCTGCGACCTAACTGCGCACCCACTCGAATTATAGAGTGGTCCAGAATTCACGATAAAAGTAAAAGTTTTAGTAGTCAATTACTTAATCTGCCTAGCCTCCTTAGCCCGTCTATAAAAGAGCTAAAACTCTTAAAAGTTGTATTTCGCAAAATTGCCGTTTTAGGGCTTTGTGTCGCGTAATTACTTAAGCTTTAACTAATGTAAACAAGAATTCCTTATTAACGAACGTGCTACAATGCCTGTCCACTTTGTGTCATGAAAATATTTGATAGTTTTCTATTCGGATAACAGCATTTACCTATAAAACAACAAAGCAAAGCCAAAACGAAGGTGGACTATTCACAAAAGCGAACTTTAAAGAGTTTTCTGCTAAATATTTGCCATTAGTAGGTTTTCTTTGAGTTTCACTCACATACGTTTTATGAACATATTACTTTTAAACTACTTTTATTCCATTCATCTACGTTTACGAGGATGCTTCATTTTTTCACTAAATTTGGACCACAATGAATACCTATAGTGTACTGCATATAATGTCCTTAATAGTAATTTCCGGTGACAAGGATTATCTTTAATTAATAGTTTGTAAGGTGAACAACTTGCGTCCAGCAGGTTGTCAGTGTCTTGGAGATTTTTGTAGCGTCCACTGAAGTTGACTAGCTTTTGTTGCCTAGTCAAATAGGAAGCACACCACATTCTCCTGCTCCCGATGAACCCGTGATTACAATCCTGTATCAGTTATTTACACACACCGATTTGATCGAATAATAACCTCGATTCAGGTCTGCCTGTTTTGTAGGGTCATCTTGATTTGAATTCATTCAAACGCCTACAATAGTCTTCTGCTAAACGCTAAAACTGATTTTGCTATGATATTTTGATTTTTTTGTCTAAAACCGGTTTGAATGATTAAGTAAGTGGCAAGTTCGATGGCTTAAACTGTTCGGGAAGGCGCTGTTAGACAGGTTCCATGGCGTCTATATTGTCGATGATAACAGTTATGACAGGTGCTCTAATTCCGAAGGCGTGAATTTTTACTCCGTAATTTCTAATTCTCTCCATAGTATTTCGATGCGTTGATTTAATTGGTAACTCCACATTTTTATTGCAGCCGATGGAATGACAGATGAACTTAGTTGCACACATTAATTAGGTTGTCAGTCAAGAAAGTTGTTCTTTATGACTGAACTCTGAAGGAACACATAAACAAGTTCCTTTTTTAACAAAGTACCTTTCATCGTGGCACAGTAAACTCAGCTCATGTTAATAAGATGTCTTTAATGTAGACATTTGTGCTAGCCGTAGTGGAAACGTGGACACAACTTCACATGTGTCCTAGAATTCATTGGGAATGGGACGATCCATGTGAGTTTGATAGCTTGAATTAAGCTGACGCTAGGCGACATCTATGTGAAAACATTTGTAAATGCATGTGATTTTTTAATTTTTTCTATTTTAGTTTAATTGGCTGCCTCAGGTTCTGATAATTTGAAAAAAAAAGAAACCACAAGTTAAGTTCTCGGGTGCAAAAGTGTCGCGATGGGATTAATACCTGGGACAAGTAATTAGTTAGATAGCTGAGTAATCTTGATTAGTGTATAAGGAATCTGTGTAAATACCAATCATTTATCCAATAAATTCAATATATAAATAAATGTTGACAAATTAAAGTATCTTGGACTGAAATTGCTTTGATGGACGCCATATTAGGTGAAATATCGATTATTTTTCATCAGGTTACTTGGGCAGAAGAAATCGTTTGTGAAATTTAGTTTAAGCAAATCAGCCATTTGATGCAGGTAGAGTAATAAGGCCATGGAATATTGAAATAAAATCCATCTTTTAGTACTTAGGGATGAGTTCGGACAATGTGTTTAAAATGTTATCAGTTCAGGAGGGTGTACGTTGACTGTAAGCATGGAAAATACAAATTTGCTAGGTAGTCTAATGCTTTGACATTAGTTTAGGATTCAATACCGAAGTGTTTACCCACCGACTGTTACATGTTTCACCAAATTCGAGAAGTGATTTCTGTACAAATAATAAGTTTTTTACAATATTGACTGTGAGACTTTATCGGAAATAATATTTATGACGCCGGCTGGTCATCAAACATTAAGCCTTAAAGCAATTAGTGCAAATACCTACGTTCGCCTTTTGTTTACTGACAGAAGATTAAAGTAATTTTGCCAAACTCGACATAAGGTCAAGGAATAGCATTGCATCCCTGTCCTTTTAAGTTAAACGACTACGTTATACGGTGATTGAAATTTTGTCCGAATGATTTGATAACGAAGGACTACAAAGTAAACTTTCATAGAGAATAACACACCTAGTGAAGGAATAACTATGCCAATATGCATACAATACATTAATTCGATTGAAGACAAACATATTGGTCTGAATTGGATGTGATACTTGTGTATATATTGTCATAATCGAAAAGATTACGTTAATAAGACCTGCAGAGCACCTAAAGTAAGATCAGCTTAAACAAACTTCCCGATTTTTAGCAGTAAAATATAAATTTAATTAGGAAGATCGTCATGTTACATGTGGTGGCGAAATTTTTAACCCAAGCAACATGCCCACGATAAATCTAATTAAGAAAACGTTTTACCTGCATTGTCGCGTGATGTCTCATTTTTTTAATGGTGACCTTGAAATTGAGGCACTTTCATACTTGTTCACTAAATTTCACATTATGAACACAAGGTCAACAAAGCGGTTAGCCTTGAACTTGTGGCTTGTGCTACCGTTTTAACCTTTCTTTTGCATTAGTTGCTGACCTCCCAAAACGAGGTTGTGCTAAGGGCAACCTGTGGACAAGTAAACTCAGCCACATATTTAAACTGCATTATTTATCAGAACAAGAATTTTTCCAACTCTCTCAAACTTAGTTTCATCTACATTAATCCCCATCTGTGTCAGTACTGAAGGCGCTTTAATGACTCAATGTACGGTGGAAATTTTATTCCTTTTTTGATGTTGGTTGTAACTGATATTGCTTTGGTAAACCTTTACTACGTCGAATTGCTTTCCTCAGTTTTTGAAGACATTTTATCATCAATTGTGGCAGCAGTTACAATCCTTTCTGGTTACCAGACAAAAATTAGTTGATATGAATGTTGGCTTCAACGCTGAGGGCACAAGCCTTACTAGTTCAGCCTTCTAAAAGTAATATCTTCGAAACGATTTTAATATTTTCTGGTTTATACTGCCGTTCCTTCATCAGCAGCGTAAACGTTCGTACAAGTCGCAGGACTTTTCAAAGATGAACTTGCTTTAAGTGAAAACCGAATGACAATAGCGCTCTTTGAGATAAATCGACGAAAATTTAGTCAAAACCATGTTAGGGAGATTCGCTCCAAGTTTTCATAATGAGGATGAAAATGTACTAGCATTCGGGGTCCTTTAGTGCGTTGGACAGTTAACCCATTCTAAGTACTGTGGAAGTGGTGTCAGCTGTGTGTGTGTGTGTGTGTGTCTTCAGTAAAAGGACAGATCCATTAATTCCTTTAATAAAACATTTATACAAAAAGAATCACTGAATGCCAAATGGAAAGACTATTCATTGTCCATTAAGTCAGAAGTTACGGTATTCATGACTTGATGAAAATCAGGATCGGTATTGCAACAGGTTATATTGTGCTTCCACATAGGGTAGCTCTTCATTGAGTTCTAAATAAACAAATTAAGAATTAATGAAAAATGCAGGTTTTTTAATAATTTGAAAATGCCAACTGTGGCACTTTTTAAAACATGGAATCATCATGTCGTTTAAATTTGTACGACAAGTTTGTCACATCAAGAAGTATAAACCGCAACTTTGCTTCTAAGTTTAGCCCTAAAATTGGTTGTCTTAAAATACTAAGGAAAAATTACATAATATTTGTTAGTTATTCCTGTTCTAAGCGCACTTATACAGCAGATACAAATTTGCTTAATTAAAAGCAACCAAGATGGATGGTTAAGATATTGGATGGCTGAGTAGTATTTATTTTCCAGTTGCACCCCTGCAAAGGACGGTGATCTTTTGATAAGAAAAACGCTATCAGCAACAAAGCAGAGTTTCCAAATGTATGGAAATGTAAGACCGTTAGCTAGGCTACATTTAATGTCTAAGTGTAGGAAACGTATAATTAAAAGGCTCTAGGCCAGAAATAAAACACTAAAACAATATCTGGAGAGACGCTGTGGCTAAATAGCATAAGGGATCGTTAAAACACACACTTACCATCACGGCTTTTCTTTTGTTTGAACAGGCTTTTTCTTTGGCACCTGAATGGCACACATTGGGTCCAGCTAAAACGGACCAATTCATCTCTCACTTTTTATTAACATCAAAATACACTTGACTTTCCATTAACTAATCATCATGTCGGTCGTTGTAAAGGGCACCCACAGGTGGATGTTTATCGGGAGACAAACTATGCAGCTATTTTCTTAGTTAATTTTCCTACCTATTCCGGTGACAGAAATTCTAGATAACACATTCAACACACTGGCTTTTGTGCATATTTATACTGGAGAAAAGACGGAATTTCTTAGAGTTCAGTTTAATTGAACAACAATGCAGCGTAGTTGAAATTAAGTCCACTCTAGATGATATTTTTTCCAAAATATGGTACATTTAATTCAATTACAAGAAGGCAGTTTAGAAATCAGCATTGAAAAGACGTATTTTGTGGTTTTTCGCCCAATGAACAAAGATGGCGACTATTAGGCATATCCTGGCTGACTGATTATGTTGCCAGAAATTTGAGTTCCCAGACCATACAATAGTTGCTGTCAAGGATGAAACGTGCATTTACTCTGCGTTGGCGAACCCCGCGGTTTGTGACGCTGCCCTAGCTTTAGTCAAGCATAAGAGCGATCCTCCAAACACACAATGTGTGCATGATTCCTTGACTCAAGATGCTCACAACCACGCCTTAAAATTAAGTTTGCTTAAGCAGTAGACTAACCTTTTCCAAGTAGGGAGCCATGATTTTACAGCGAGGAAACACGACCTCGCGAAGTAGACTAGCAATTACCAAAACGAAGGGGATTGCTGCTCCAGCTGGTGTGAACTCATCGTATTCACCAAGAATGAGAAGAGTTAGCATGATGATGAGTTCAACTGTCCATATGCTCATAAAAAGGTAAACAAATCGCCTTGGGATTCCATCAAGGATGTTCCATTGCGACCAGTACTTCTTTCGTGAAAAGAGTGCAACAAATATTTGCTTGTAGCGTAGTCCACGGAGACCGAAGATGCCCAGGTAGATAAATAATCCAAATAGAGAAGCCACAGGAATAAGGTGAAGGAGGTCGCCAGCAAAGACGGACAATGAAACCAATATTCCTACCAGTATGGTGTTTACGCGCTGTTCTACCAAATACCACACGCTAAAAAAAATAATTATTAAACTGAAATAAGAATAACCAATCATTTTAAGATTTTCCTTAAAGTTTTGCATAAAAGCTAATGAACAGAAAGGCTAGAATTATAATGAGTTAGTTTGCTAAAACTTTTGTTTAACTAACAAAGATTAGGATGGTTGCATAGAACCAAAACTGTAATCACAATAGACGAAAAGGCGATACCATAATTAAAATGATACTGAGCAATACTGATTCCAAAAACCGAGCAAAATGAGTTAAGGTCGTTATTTAACAGCCCAATTTCATGTAGTTTTAAGGAGTTCTAGAAATCAATGACGTCCTAATTCAGTGTTTAAGGGTGAAGTTATGTTCCATGCTGGCGGATGAAGACAGTATGCTTTAAAGTTCATGGCAGATAATTTTGCACCACCAACAAGCTAATCAGGATGAAAAGCAAAACACCTCTTTTTAAATCGCCAACATGCAGAGAAAAGACATCGGCGCCTAGTGGATAAAAATGATATTTTTGCCATAGTGTATCACCTTTACCAACTAAAAATTGGCTACGCTTAACGGGCTCCAGCAGTTCCCACGGGTTTCCACAAAACTAGCCTTGTCATTAGCACGCTGTAAGGAACTGCACCACAAAATACTTGATCTGCGGTTTGTACACCACTTGAAACCCCCAAAATGTTTTCAGTCTGTTAAAGCTAATCTTGTTGCATTCTCGAGGAAAACCAAGGAGTATGTTTGATTTGTGGGATATTGGGCTCATTTTCTAAAAGCAGGCTGTATAAGAAATTGACTGAGTTTAGGACGATCGTTTGAGGACGAATACTTTTAAAGGACTAATAGCTGGTTTGATAAAGTGAATTGCCCAAAGTACTAAATATTTAACCATATTGAAATAAGTCGAGTGAAAAATTCTTATGGAAGTTAGACAATTTGTCAGAAAATTCCTTCACAAATGTAGGCATAAGTTAAAATGGTTTTTTATGCAAATGAATCCTGCAAATAAGTTAATTTGCTGAGATCAATTTGATGCCTAGGAAGTGCTTTGCAAAAGACGAATTTAAAAGAAATTATCTTACGCTCCATTGTCACCAGGAGCTGGGTTAGGGTTGACCTTGACAAGGGCCATCATGTTCGCGATTGTGCGGACAGGCACGCCGGAGACGATTGGGAGGCCGAGAAACATCGACATTATGGGGAACACAACGTTGGTAAAAAGATGATCAATTGAGGGAGGGCTCGGTTTAATTGATCCTCCTCTCAAAGCAACGATGCTAAAAAAAATGTATGGGGTTACTTGCGGATTTTTCAGTATAGAGGTGCTATTTGCCGAAACATCCATGATCTTGCCGTAAAATTTGATGCAGAAAAAATAAACCACCTTTTTTATTGAAACTGCAAACACGAGATCTGGTGTAATGTAAGTTAGCCACAATTGGTATTTATTGGTCAAGTCGATTGTGGAACTTTAAGCTTCATTGATCTCCCGTGTCGCGTCCTATTTCATATTTACACTACATCTAGCGGTACTGTCTCGAATTTAGGAGAATTTCCGGGAAAATCTGTTTAAATAAGCCTTGAGTTAATGCTGAAATGTTTCTTATTCAACATTCTAACACTTTCAATGCCACTGAAAAGAAGTACTGCCTTATCCTCTGTGTTCGGGTAGTATTGAATTTTAATAGACTGTGTATCGCTGTCACTAGAACTTCAGGAAATTAAGTGTAAATTAGACAAATTTCTTTTAAATGAAAGCTTGAATGGACTTTTGAAACCCGTTATCCTTGAATTTTGTAATTCTACATCGCTAGACATCGCAGAGACACATCTAGGATTCTGACTGATCTTTAACGCATGGATGTCGAAACAAATTTCACGCATATTTCAAACTCCAAGTGAAAACTTAAAAATGAAACAATGAATTTTGAAATAAAGTGCGTTTCTGGAATGATAAATTCTCCGTTTTTAACATTTTTGGTGTACCCAAATCCAGCTTCCGATCTTATTTTATATTTGCTAAAGGATATTCAAGGACTGAAAACAGTCAGCTAGCGTTGCCAAGGTTGAATGAGTGCTTACCTGTTGAGGCCTATTTCAACGAATATAAGAAAGGCAAGAAGGAAGCCGTAAAAGACACCCATCCCGTGCACAGTGTAATAATTGGCATTGCCGAAATTCATGGGATCCTTCCAATCGGGGAAAATGAACCACGTAGTGTAATTAATCGAGGCAACAGGCGGCACTTGAAGGAGGTCAACTTCATACCCAGCAAAGAAAATTCTTTCAACAGCGATCATTAGAAGCATGTTTATGGGCACGTTCAGTGCGCCGATCCAGAATCGAAGCTGCAACAATTTAATTGGATACCAGTCTTAGATCATTGCAAAGTAAGTAGGGCTATTAGTAATCATTTATGCCCAGGCTAATTTGATGTGACGGCAAACATCACCCCACGAATGCATAATGCTTTGTGCCGAATAAGTAAAGCAAATCTATTTTTCATTTTTTATCAATTTCAGGTTTTTGAGAATAAAATCATGACACAACCATGGTCGCAAGAGAGTACAATTGCAAATTCTTCGAGTAGAGATTGCAAAATATTTCTAAATGCGTTTTTGAAATCTCATGAATTATTTGGCTTGAATGCTGTAGTCCCAACTGTGACCTTCTCTCATACATTAATTGTCCCTAGTCCCGCCTCTGCCCACGTTAGAACGTTTGGTTTAATCATTAGCAACTTTCTTTAATCGAGCTGAATCCTCATGCACAGCAAACATGGGCATAACGGTCCAACACCCTGCCACTTACATGATATCTAACACCTGCTAACTAAGGAGGAGACACGAATCGTTAATGTTAATGAATGCCTTTAAGTGAATGGCACTAAAGACTATTCGACTGCTGTTCACGCACTACATCTCCTTCACCGGCTTTATTCACTGCTACCTTCAGACACACAAACAATGACCTTCACTTCTCCAATAGGATTTTTAAGGGTGCCGTTTGTGCCTCCACCTAATGTCCCTTCGGCCTTTTCCTTCCCTTTTTTTAAAAATTTTCCTGCTTCCCTTAAAGATGAATTCAAAGTAAAATTGACGATTAGTTAGTTTTGAAAAATACGACTTTATACTCCTCTCTGTTGTGTAGAGCAGTGTCATTTTTATTATCATTTTTTTGTAATCAAAAATTAAAAACACATTTATCAAGCTCTAGTTTACCTTTTGACGAGTTAGATGACTTGCTTTGAACTTCATGATGATTAAGCAGGTACAGGTAATGAGAAGAGCTATAAAAGCATTCGTTCCGGCTATAGCGGCTCCTCGAAGCTGAGTGTAATCTTCAGGGGTAATTGGTGAGGTTTCATTTAAAGGCGGCAGACTGCTGGGAATCGGCTAAAAAAGATTAACATTCTGCAAAAGGGCTATGCAGTGACAACGCAAATGTGGAAACCTATTTTGAAGAAGGTATTGTTGCTTCAGTCTATAAGAGAGGCCGTTTGGAGAAATTTAAAGGCAGAAAGTGAAGCTAAATTCATGACAATACGACACACGAGAAGACAATGAATGAACTGCTGGTTGAAGAGTCTGAGTCGCGTCGCCAACTTCCATGAGCAATTAGTAAGCCTCAATGGGTCTGATAAGATCCTTAACATTTCTTGTTTTGATTTTCTAAGATGCTTGACAGAGCACCCTTTCTAGGGTTAACAGACCCTACTAAATGATTTTGTATGCCACTTTTGTTATTACTCCCTTGCCTCACGTAGAAATCCCAGACTTCTTGTGAAGTGGAAACTCAGAGTAACATTTCATAGATGGCTTTACAAATTGAGTTTACCTTACTAATAACTTAGGACACCTTGGACATCTTTAAAACCGGAGTACAAAGCAAAAATCTCAAAATAGCTAATCAGATAAAGTTACGGGTAGTTTATTAATTCAACTAGTTTGATTTTATATATGAATGTAATCTGTATGAGTTACTCTTAACCGTCCAGGATGCTGCATTACATGCTGAAAATGTTGAAAGAGAACAAGCACAATCCCTGACTTCATAAATTATGCCAGGTCCTTTGCGATAAGTCATTAAGACTTTAAGAATCCTTAAGAGACCAATATTTTAGGTTCCAGAAAATGGAAAAACGTGAGTGGGGTGCATTATATTTGTTTTAGGGAATTGACTTAATGCTACTAATTGATAATCATTTGCTAAAATGAAAGTAAACTGTCTGAGCACTTACTCGAAATATCGCAAAGAGGGCCTTCACAATCAAGAAGCCGGAGACGAAGGCACTGAATAGTTCCTCAACGGATCGTCGCGTGTGTTTTGAGAAATTCGAGAGATTTAGTGCGATAAATATTGCGCCAAAGACCGATGTATACATCAGGACACAGAATCGGAAGGGAAAAAATGGAACGCCCAGGTTGTTTGCCTCCTAAAAAGATTATACAAACTTAACTCATATCCGTGTTGATGCAGGTTTGGGGTTATCCACGTTCTTGTGATAAGTCCACACTGTCATTTGAATTGAATTTAATAAATTATATTAAAAGGAATGAAGAAAAAGGGTTTTTGCTTTAATTTCCTGGCTGATAGAGTTGCTTCGCTGGGAGAAAAATCACATCCGAATATGTGATACAGAGTAGAAATCGATACCTTAAAAAGCTTTCGATTGATTAGACAGTTTGGCTAAGTGTTTCTATACATATTTCGTAAATTATGTCAGATGGTATTAATTCATTTTAATTCATTCATGTCACTGGTTTGCTCCACTAGCAGAGGTGATTTGGGCCTAAGGTGCATGGAAACTTTACAGATAATGATAATCTGAACTGGAAATCACTAATTGACCCAGGTTTTAATCACACACAAGTCCATAATTGTGTCAAGCAAAATATAACAAGCGTACCTAATGTGGCAGAAGTCAAATCCCCGCTAAAACTGTTGCAGTAATTTTTGTACGTATTAGACGAGAACAAGCCCGGACTGTATTAGATGCATTATGCATGATGCTTTCTATCTACTTTTTCACCCTTTATTAGGCATGTCCACGCATTTATTTTACAAGGCAGTGGTCATAGGTTAGACACACTATCTGTTACACCATTTTCGGTGCATAAAACCGAATTAGAATAGGACAATTTTCGACTTGATAGTTTAAAAGTGCAATGCTAATCCGCTGAGTGCGCAACCCGCTAACATGTCTTGAATTCAGCGTGAACTATAAACATTACAAGGCAACGGACGAATTCAGCGTATTGAAAACAATCACCCGTTTAAATAAACAAAAGCAAACACAATAATCAATAATTTTGAACTTCTCTAATGATACAATTTACGCTAAAGACCACGTCTTTAATACAAGCAACTTAATAGCTTTCCTTAACCAGTTTGAAAGTTTGCACTTTTTAAAGTAGCAGTAGGCATGTTTTGACCCAAATATTTAGACCAGGGTGCATTTTGACAATCTCAAGCATTGTTTTCAGTTTACATTTTGTCATAAGCCTCGCTTCGGAAGCAGAATAAGAGGAAACCTCTAAAGCACCTCTGAAATCCGGTGACCAATCATAGGGGTGGCAGTGGCTGAAATGTTAGTAGAGTAAATAGAGCGGATAAAATGTGCTTAATCGACCATCGCTGCGTTTTCATCCCCAAGAATTTTCTAAAGTCTCTCTGCACACACTCCCAGTAAAACTATTTTGCTCTGAGACTACGAAGCTAAATGAAATAAAATGAAGGACTTTTAGCTGAACGTAGCACCACTCTCTAAAAGTGGTAGATGGCTTAAGCCAAATATTCTTCATCGTGGCCTTTCATAAAGCAAACAAAAAGCTTACGTTTGCGATCATTTTCTCCATGATAAAACCAGGGCCGGACGGTCCTATCACAGCAATCGGTTGTCCGGCAAACAGGGCGAATAGCAAGGTGGTAAAACCACTGGCCAGAATGCTGTTGCTTACGGAAAATGCTGGATTGACTTGACGGCCTAGTGAGAATATTAAAAAAAAGTTAATTTACCTTTTACATGAAATCACATCGCACTCATTTATTTATCCTTGTTTGTAGTTTGGCAAAATCTAAACGTGTAATTTTATGACAACAAATTTCATACCTCTTTGTTTTGCACACCAACTAACATTTGTCCAAGAGACCCTACTTATACTGCCTCCACGTAGGTCATGTGGACCACTTGCTGCCTTTATACTACTTCATGGTGAGTTCACCTTAAAACATGCTTTTTTAACCGAATTATAAGCCATGCAGTTGATTTTAGTTTAATTTCACAATGCTTGATTGAAACAATAGACGCATTTTTTTCCAAAAAAACTTTTCTTTCTACTAGGAATACCTTTTGGTGTAAAACCACCAGTTAGCGGCAAATTTAAGGTAAGTTTACAGTTATAGAAACTGCACAGGTTATGCAATGGAATGAATGGTTTACCCATTAGAGTTCCCATTGTGATGGCCGGAGCAAATACAACGAAGAACATGAAGGGTATGCTGCTGAAGCAGACACTGACGTTGCCCTTTTTAAATGCATCCTTGAAATCACTGGGATAGCGTTTGGCCGTCTCCTTCAAGCCTTTAATAAACTCCCTACCAGGAGGCATGAGGCGTTTAAAAGCAGATTTTGCCCAACTACCAAGCGGCTCTTGTTCCACTCCGAAATCTTCATCCAAATCAATGCTAGAATCTACAAAAATTGGCACTTTCCTAATCGCAATGCTTTTTCTGGTGTAATAAGTAAATTAAGGAGAAACGTTTACTTCAAATGTAGTAATAGTAGTTCCCCACATGAAATTGATAAGTTTTACAATTTGACTTTATGGAAGATTATAAGGACATGTTTAAGTGTATTGTAGCAAAACGCATTGTGAAATCTTCCTTAGTGCTCAAGATGAGAATAACATCGAAAACCACAAGGCTTATCGACGCCGGTTTTCTACTGTTGATAGCAGGACGCAAGGCTCTCCAGTAATTTTTCTGTCTGCACTGAGACAAATCTTATCAGGCGTTCACCTTAGGGAAAGATTAAACCCTGCAACGCTCGTTACTTGGGTGGATTGCGTGCAACACGTTTTGTTGTCAGATCACCCACTAATCCGTCTTGAAATGCCAGCTTTAGCTAGCCTGCATTAGTTGGTATCACAAAATGTTGTTATTTGTATCTACGTGAGCATCAGGTATATCAATAATCCTTTTTGTGATTTACGAAGATTTTATTAGTTGAATTAAATGAAAATACGTTCGCGTCGAAATCACGCACAAAATCAAAACGAAAAATCTTCTGTCCGACTTCGGATTTGAAAAGACACCAGCCAATTTATTTACCAAGGGAACTTGCGTCCTCAGTTGTTTTGTCTGTTTCCTCGTCGTGACCGAAATCCTGGGTCTTTTCCTCTTCCCTTTCTCGTGCTCTCCTCTGCACCTCCTCGTTATCTCGGAAAAGGTCTGACCAATAGGTCATTTCGGAGTCGTTTCGTCGCCTTAACGGCTTTGCCGGATGAGCCTCCACGTTGAGCCGACTGAGGTATATGTCGACTGCAACGAGGATATCATGTGAGTTGGTGGCATCCTCGCAGGCACGTCGGAATTTCTGAAACATTAGACGAAGCTCCGTAGGCAATGTCATGCAAATAAACCACTTTTGGTGAATGTGAGCACCTCTTAAATTATAAAAAAAGTTCAAAATTACTGACACGTGAACGATGTGTGTTAGTAAGAATTAAAAATGCTTAGATTCTTAGGTAATCGAATTATAGGTACGGAACCCAGCTGAAGTGACACTCAATGTAAATCGAAAAGTCTGGACAGCAAATTGAATAAAGAAACTCTTGCTGTCAGTGGCTTTTTGTTTATTTTATCTAAATAAATTAATACAAAGAATTTAGGAAAGGAAATGCTAGTAAGCTCAAAAGCCTTTTGAAGTTACACTTGTTATGGTGCATAATAGTTTTTTTTAAAGTCATAATCATGATTAAACTTTATAGACTTTGGGGGACCAGAGATAATCAATTGGACTAGAAATTGGACTCCAGCCAACTAAACTTTTGAGGTCGTACAGAAATGCGCATACACATTTGCTGCTTACTTAAGATCCACGTAGGTAAACGTGTCTGATGGTGCAGATACTAGAGTCCTCAGTATTTTCACGTACATGCCGTTATCGTCCAGAAACATAGAAATCCAAGTATACTTTAATACTCCTGCTACCTTGTCACCCAACCTAGATGCAAGCTTTTTACTGAATTCCATAAGATGTTCACACACAGAACTTTTCGGAAGTGACATTTGATGTCTCTGAAATTCATGTTTACTGTGTGCCTGTTCTCTTTGTTCTTATACTAAAATGGAGCTATTGAATAAGCATCCCTATCACTACTCTGGGAAATGCGTCAGTTTGTGATAGTGTACCCCAAGATTTGTCTCGCTAAAGTGAGAGTTTATTTGGTTCGCTAAAAAGGTTAGAGAAGTTAAGAGCAGGCGTGAACTTATAAATTATTCTTCGAAGGAATAAAATCGATTAAGGAGCAGCAAATGTTGGTACTTAAAATATTTATCGAGGTGAGTGTTTGTGTTTCCAGTGTTTATTATTTTGCATTTGGATAAATTTATGTGCTTTATAAGCATAACCATTCGTGTTCAACAAGTTATCTTGCTAATAAGAGCTTAAGTTACGAATGTTCATCAAACAGTGGATTCGTTTATGGTGACTTAGATCCGAAACACATTTTCAGCACGCTTTAGAAAACAGGTGAACAGTTATAATTCACGGACATTAGTGCCAAATTGCCTTAAACTTTGGTTGATTTTCGCTGGATTAGGTCATCACACGCTTGAATTGGAAAATCTTTTTAAGGAATTAAACAAAGTGCACATCTTTCATGTCCAATTTGAAGAGGGCATAAGTGCACACATTTAAGTTGAATGGTGGTTATCTAATTCTACTGCTTTTGTTAAAAGCGTTTTGTTAGATACTTGAACGATCCAGGGCTCATTACCGCTGCTCGTTAAGCAACCACGTTGGGGTGGGGTAATCAAAAGCCAGATCGCAAATCTCCTTTAAAAAAAGATGAGCGCAATTTTCAAGTGTACAAAGCTTCTGGTATTTTTTCTACGAGTTGATGTAAAAGTGATCATTGTCCGGGTCCTTGAAATGACCAAATACAAATATGTGTAAAAAATACATGGATTAGCTGCAATGCTTGGGATGATAAAATATTCTGAAATTCATTTTACTCTTCGTAACATTCAATAGTAACATAAAATTTTTTTTATCTATAAGTTGATCGAATTTACAAAGGTCAAAGCTTCAAAATTTCCGGAATTAAATGCAATTTTCATCATAGTTGTATGTGAATTTCAAACTAAATTTTGGCATACATGGCAACTGAACATTTATATTTTGGTTCTGAGATTTCTAGTGTTTATTTTACTAGTTTTAATAGCCTCTGTGGTGCTTTGCTATAAATTTACTGAAATTTGCTCTCTAAATGGATTTGAATTTTACGCCTGAAGTTCTATACTTAATTAATGACCCCTGTGGGAAGAGGCACGACCATAAACATTGGTATATGTGAGAATCGATCGTGTACCCTCATTATAAAAGTCGAAATCTCAACTCAAAGGTTTCTTGAAGAACTGCGAATATAAACTTTTATTCCAATCTCATGTTCCGTAAATACCAAAACTAATCAAGTTCTCAAATCAGATGAAAGTTACCTTTCTACGTCTGCGAATAGGACACCTCTCTGACAATTTATGTAAACTTACCTCATTTATAAGGAAGGTACCAATCATGCGACCATCCTCGATGCACTTTCTTGAATCTGTCAAGTCCGGTGTCAGTGAAACGATGACAAACTTAATTGGAAAAGGCACCTCAACCACTCCTGTTGGCGGTACACATTCTTTCAGCCGAGCAAAAATGAAGACTGGATTCTTAATACGAGGGGCATAGCCCGTTAACACAATTGCTGTCGTCGAATCAGGCGCCAAGCACTGTGTCAGCTCCTTATTTACAGGATACTACAAAATCATGATTCAAGAAAATAATAAGTTACGACTTGTCAATGAGAGCTGCATGTAAATTATTTTTGGTTTTTTACGTTCCCCATTATCACGAAACCCAACATCAGAGCAAAAAAGAATATAGACAACTCCAAGTGCTTCACACAGTGTAATAAAGTGCTAGGTTGCAACGTGTAGCCATGTTAGAAGTGCGAACAAAACGGGATTTGGTATCACATTCAAGGGAATGTCCGTAAGATTAATAGTTAAACGAGAAGAGCTGAAATAGCGGCGGAGCGTTTTTACCCGCCTCCACTAGATTTAATGCATGCACCTCCGCCTTGGTTTCGTCTTGTGCGCAGCCTCTCTCAGGTGATTCAAGGCCTCATTTCTCACACCCAAAGCGCCGCTTTATTAATTCAGAGGTTAGCACTCCACAAATTCTCATTAAAAACTGCACATAGAGATTTTTCAGACTACATAGTACAGTGAATGAGAATAAAAAAAACAATAAAATTATAAAATTTTTAGTGAGAATGAAATTGGTCAATCATCAACTCTCCCAAACAATATTCATAATTGATATTAGTTCGCAGCCTAGGTGCCTATACATGGGACGCAAAGCCAATTGTAAATAAGTGGCAGCCAATCTTACTCCTACATTAGTTGGAAACTTTTAAAAGAACGTGTAATTTAACGTACCTTCGGATGCTTTCGTCTGCCATCTAAAACGAAATAATTATTAAGACTTTACTGCTCGGTATGGATACGTCAGAACAAATTACTAAATGCTATGTTTAAATACAGTTTATTACTCTACCACAAAAGACAAGTCAAACATATCTCGGAGCACGGCCCTGTTAAAGCATTTCCAGAAGGTCTTTCCTTAATGTTGCATGGGTAAATCGAACTTTTGTCGGCTCGCCTAGTTATCTTAAAGTCATGCATTCAAACCTCGGGTTTAGTTTTTTTTTAAAAATGCAATCATACAATGTAGTTATTTAGGAGTGCTAATGGTTATTGTAAATGTGGGGACTTAGAAGAACACAGTCATCCATTATAATTTGACTTGGCAACACTTTATGGCACAATCGCGCTTTCTTGGGAAAAGGAAAAATCGATGTCTGTCAATGATATCTATAAGACGCACTCAATTGCCAATTGGCTGATAGACCTCTATACGTGATCTCGGTCGTATTTATTGTTTTATCACTGTTTGAATCGGTGCTTTTACTTACTGTCAAATTTATTCGCTGTAACGTACAAAATTTTTCGAGGGTATAGGATCCTTATTCTACATTTAAAACCGTTTTAAAAGGCAAAAGTAGTCGCTTAGTTGAGATACGTTTAAGGATTAAATTTTTTTAATGTAACAAACCTGTAATTCAAGAATATTAGGACAGGTAAGGCGCGCATGTTTTTGCTTGAATTTAGACTATATATAAATTGTCTCGTTCACGTAAGTTGTCATAACACCTGAATGAGCCACACAGTACAGTACGGATGAATGCTTTGCTTTAGGTTTACTGTCTTTGCACTTAACTCGAAAACTACTGAGTTGTTAATGGCACTTTGCTTTATGTAACAGAATGCATTCCTC